TATATATATATATATATATATAGGTCCAACATCCTGCCCTCTCTCTCTGTGTGTATATATATATAGATGACAGGATTTCGCTGGAATACATGTCGTTTTGTACTGTGTGTCTCATGGATTCAGTTTTGAAGATATATACTATATAATAATCATGTATTTAGATGTATAAACGAATATGATTTCACTGTGTGTTTTGCATGTATATGAATGATATTTGTTGCGTGTAGAGCCAAACAATTGGCGGCGCTAAAGTCGGTGGACTTGCATGAGGCGGTCGTGGCGTACCAGTTGCAAGTGGAGAAATCGTACCAAGCGATCCATCGCGTGGTGCTATCCAGGTTTCCCGAGGTAGAAACGACAATCTCATGATGGAGTCTTTTGATATGCCTATTTTGGGGGATTGATGAAATCGCCAAGTAATCGAGAAAATGAGTATGATTGGCTATAAAGAATGAAGATTGAAATATGATTGGCTAAAATATTCATTGATGCATTGCAGTCTCAAAGATACCTCTTCAACTCAGTTTTATATGAAATTTCGAAGGTTCGGCGATTGTTCGGCGGTTGATTCAACCAATCGCCAACGGAGGAAATGTTGAGTACAACACACAATACATATGAACAATTATATGGTTTTTCAATTGCTTTGGAATGATTTGTTTTAATATATATATAGAGATATAGAGTTGTTTTGATCCTTGATTTTGCTCAAGAACCATTTCTTCGTTTTTTATAATTTTTTGGTTTTGAGAGTATCTGAAATTATCATCATTGATGTATCATCCATCTTCCAAAAAAATATTTATATATCCCTGGTACAAAACCTTCATGTAATATATATATATATATATATGAATGCTATGTTTAATGTATAGATATTCCCAGCCAGCGTGTTTACATGGGAGCGGTATCGGTGGGCGCGGTACATTCTCGACACGCGCAGCATTTGGTATGTGTTATTTTTCGTATATATTCCAATATATTATCATGATCGGACACAAATCGTGCAATATAATATATATTTGGATGTAATATTTTTTGTCGGATACGTAGGTGGCAAGGGGAGCGTCACTTGGTGCCGATGCTCGACATGGTCAACTGCCAAGAAGGTCCTGCGAACCAGCCACCGGCGCGGGTCCATCGCACGGCGCTGTCGGCGGACGGACGCGTCGCCGTCACCAGAGCCGCATGGGCGTTCCCTTCCAACTCCCAAGTCGTCGAGAACTACGGACAGCCCAATTGGATCTACTTTTTGTACCATGGCTTTGTCTTGTCCAAGAACAGCCACGATTGCGCGCACATTGTGCTGGACATGGAGTCGCCCATGCAAAAGATCCAAGCCTCGGACCTGTACGAGGTATGGTGAAGGAAATATGCTAATGCGTGGATGGAAGATGATGGGGTTGGGATAGAGGTATGTGGCCAAGGTGCGCCACGTTGGACTCACGTCTCTGCGCCCGGACTTTTGTCTGTCGACCCACGCTATTCCCAAGCAAGCACTACAAGCTGCAGCGTTGTACACTGAGTTGCACGCGTTGTCCGACGTCACGTACATCATGGATGGAAGCAGCGACGTCGACGGGGACGCGAAGACGCGCGAGGTGAAGGCCCTGCGCTTGGTGTTGCAAAAGCGGCTTGACGCGCTCGGAGGCGTTGAAATGCCGTCCTCGACCGAGGGGTTCAACGGCGACGTCCTTCGCGTGTACATGGACCAGCAGCATCTCCTCCTTACCCGCCTCATCGACACGCTCGACACCAAGTTGCTGGAGCCGCTCATGTAACGTTGTTCAATTGTCCAAATGGATTTCGAAGAACACACACTCATATCCGGATAATCGAGTAATGGATATTCTTATGCGGATGATTCTTTTGTGTTTTCCACGCGGCGGCATTTTCGAAACGGATCGACCGACACATGACGTACGTGTCTGGGGGTCAAGTGATCGAGAAGCGGTCCTGGCTGCGGCTGTCCATCATCCCGGACATCTTTTGGGGCATCATTGGCATCTTCCAGCTCTTGTACGTATCCTCGTCGCATCAACGTGACTAATTGTTGTGGATAGTTTTTCCACGTTTTTTGGCGGGGTACGTCACATGAACAAGAGCGACTTGGGTATACGTGATGGGTTGGATCTATACATATTGTAGGAAGTGCCAAAGTCGAATCGTCGTTCGGCTGCGCGTCGAGGTGGCGGTGGCGGCGGACCTGGCGGAGGAGGTGGCCCAGGTGGCCCGCGTCGTCCCATCGGTCGCCTGCAACCGGCGACTTGTGTCCCAGGTAATTCCCCACCACTAAACGAGGTTATCTTCTTAACGACCCTCCTGCAGCGGGCGGCTCATGAGGTTAAGCATCCATGTGGTTGCGAGTCCATTCTTGGACATCGCAACGCACATGATGCTTCTCGCGCTTCAACTTCCTTCCTTGGCGCGAGGAATGACTCATCCACGGCGTGACGACTTTCGACGTATCAGCATGACTCTGTGGCACGCAACCCCATCATGAGGAAGTGCCACAGACGACCACGATATCGCTCGACGACGCTGTTCGGCCTGATACAGTATCCCATGTAGTTGTACTACCGGTAAGCTTAGTTATCAAAAGATCATATTGGGTGACTGCCAAATATCTCGCAAATCAAATGGATTTTCAATTGTAACGTAGACGGCCAATATATGTAGAGTATAGTTTGTATTCATACTAGCTTGTCTTCGATCAAATATGCTAGCGTTGTATTTGGCGAAATCACTCACAAGGTCAAATATACTATTAATAGTACTACGTAGTATTATACTTCGAAGTAATATATATTATTACGTAGTAGTACAGTATGTACTAGTATGAATTATTAATAGTAACAGTAAATGCACCAATTACAAGCTTGTCTTCGATCAAATATGCTAACGTTATATTTGGCGAAATCACTCACAAGGTCAAATATACTATCAATAGCACTACGTACAGTAGTATTATACTTCGAAGTAATATATACTACTACGTAGTATGTAGTAGTCCTGTATGAATTATTAATAGTAACAGTAATAAATGCACCAATTACAATGTACTACCACAACATTATTAATAGTCACACATATCGTTTTATTAATTTGTCCGTTTATCTTTTGGTTTTTTGCCGTTTGGCGGCGCCCTTTGTGATGTTCTTCAACTTGGGGCCGCCCGTGCGCTTCTTGCCCTTCTTCGGCTCGCCGTCGTAGTCGTCGTGCGCGGTGGCGGCCTTGGCCTTTCCCTTGCTCTCTTCGCGGCCGAGCAGGTGCTGCAACACGTTCATGCTGCGCTCCTTCTCCGTCTTTTCCGCGCCAGTGACGCTCAAAAACTTGTTGCGCTTGCCCACATGCTTGCGCTCGCCCTCCCCTTCGCGCTTCTTGTCGAACTTGCCCATGGACGCCGTCGAGAACTGCACTTTCTGGAGCGCCGCCTTGGTGCCTTCCTTGCCGCGCTGTTTGACCTTTTTGTCGTCTGTGTTGAGCAGTTCCACGGGCACGCCGAGGGGGGTCTTGCTCACGGGAACGCGGGGTTCCTTGCCGCGGCCTTGTTTCTATTAGCATGACATTCAAATGACGACGTGACGTTCGTGATGATAGAAGACTCGTACGGCGTTGTTGGCTTGGTTGCGCAAGTTCTTTTGAACGCGTTCGGCCTTTTCTTGCTTCTTCTCGGTCCACGGGTCCGCATACGGGTCGGCCCCGCCCTTGACGGGCATCGCCCAGTCGCCCGAGTCGTCGTTCGCACGCTTGTACCCCCACTTGGGAGCCCAGATCTGCTTGGCTTCGTCCCACACCATGCGGCTTTCCTTCTTGTTCTTGATGCCCTTTTCGCGCGCAAACTTCTCCCATCGCGTCTCGACCTTCTCCTTCGGGAGCGGCTTCTCGCGAGGAATCACGGTTGTCGGCACGGGAAGCTGTCCCATGGGACCCATGTCGGTCATTTGCCGCGGGAGTTCAAATACATGGTTGATCAACAACTGGACGCTGTCGCGTGCGTACGCTTTGAGTTCACTTTCGTCCGCGACGTTTTTCACCGCAAACGGATGCGTGTCGTACGCCGCCAGGTTGCCCAAGTCGTACGTCAAGTCATCCTCCTTCGTGACGGCGCTGCTGTTCTTGTTGGACGAGTACGCCGCCGGCGCGATCTCTGCCGCCTTGACTACCATGATCAACCTGTGGAAATTCCAATGTTGAACATCCTATGAGTGCACACCATCGAATTTGACTGGCTGGCGGGAGCAAGTGAACCGGTTTAGGTAAAATGGAACCGGTTCAGTCATATACCGGGTATTTGGTGTATACATCCAGTTTCGAACCGGTGAAAGAGCCCAACGGAACCGAGGTATTTGCCGTACATACCGGGTATTTAGAGGTTAAATACCCGGTGTTTGGACAAAGGGACACTTCGTAAGCAAAGAAACAACGAGATCTACGGCGATAAATGAGCCGCCATCGCAACGTCCGCAACCGCGCGTACTCGTACGATGATGAAGGTAGGAAGATGTCTGAGTAGGCTTGATGAAGCAGCGGATGTCTCATGCACACATAGACTACGATGATGATTACAACTACGACGAGCCGTCTCCGAGTGCACGTACGTACCCATGATGCTCCACATACATGCACACCGCCGTGTCCAGCTGCCTCTTGGACACGCATATATATGTATATGATGGCAACTGTAGAATCGCACATCTATCGCCGGGACTCGCCGACAAAGCAGAGCTCTGTCTTTTCGTTCATCGACACGCACCATCCACCCGATGGCGAGGACGCGTTCGACGACACAGGTGTATTCGATGCCCTCAATGCTTGATCGATGGGATCATTCGTTCTCGCCTGTTTGACCGCCGCGGTTAGAGTTGGCACTGCCGCTGCTCGATCAGATCCGCAGCACCATCGACGTGTCGTCCATGTCGGACGAGTTCCTCGTCGACCAAATCCGCGTGCACAACTACGACTTGGACAAAGCCATAATTGGGCTCATGGAGCACAAGAAACGAACGACGTCTCAGACTGCAGGTACATACATCTCTCGACTCCAGGCACGTTCTAACACTCGTCGCCTGTAGTGAGCGCACTACCGACGCAGGTGGTCCTGCCCAAGGTACAAGCGTTGGCTCTAGGGGACAAACCCAAGCCACCGACGAAATCGACCACCAAAGGTACGGACTAGAGTACTATACGGTACACTGTACGTGTCACTATTCTTAGTGCCCAAACACGTATAATAGTGACATGTACACAGACCTCTTTCTCATATACACTTAGTTGCATGTGGGGACTGATTGAACGTCTCTCCCCCCCGTCGCTTCTACACCACTTGACATGTTGTGTTCACAGGAAGCGCGTCTTCCGCCGTCGCGACAGTTCCGGCGCCGTCCGCCAAAGCCCCCGCGGGTGCCATCGCCGGCGGTGGGGTGTACCAGATGCTGACGCCGACGGAGCGCGCGGCGTTTGAAAAGGCGGAGCGGGCGGCCCAAGGCAAGGCGGCGGCGGCACATTCCCAGACCGACGGCAAAGCCAAAATCAACATGGTCGTGATTGGACATGTGGATGCGGGCAAGAGTACAATCACGGGGCACCTGCTGTTTCGACTTGGGTATGTATATATATATATTTAGCTGGGGGTGGATATATATATATATATATAGATGTAGATACAGTACTACACGGATGTATATTGAATTAGATACGTGTCCAAACAAATCATGCACAAGTACGAAAAGCAGAGCCGCGACGCCGGCAAAGCGTCGTTTGCGTTTGCGTGGGTCATGGATGCCGACGAAGAAGAGGTGGGTACAGCACTACTACAAATATTAGGACATAGGAATATATATTTATTTCTCTCTCTCTCTCTTTATATATATATATATTTATTTATAAATAAATGCCTCCATGTTTTCGCAATAAACCGTTTAGGGTATGGTTGCATAAAGTGGTTGTGGGTATTCTTTAGGGTTGTACACGAGGAAATATATATATATATATATATTTTTGGTTTTGTTGGATTTACGATATATATATGTTGTTGTGTGTAGCGGGCGCGTGGGGTGACCATGGACGTCGGCACGTCGTACTTTGCCACGTCATCCAAGCATGTGACGCTTCTGGACGCGCCAGGACATCGCGACTTTATCCCCAAGATGATTGCCGGCGCATCGCAGGTATACATATAACACACAATATACATATATTATATTATATATATATAGTTCTCCGTCTCTAAAAGTTTAATAGTTTTGAGTTTTGTATCGTGTGGCTCAGGATATATATATATATATATATATATGAATGCAAGACGAGGCCCAAGAACTAGGCGAAAAGGACTTTAACAAGAGAATACTAGTCGACCTAAAGATAGTAGTCGGTGGACGTGGGCATTTTCATTTATTGGACTTCATTTATTATTTGTTTTCATCTATTCTATGTAGGCGGACGTGGCGGTGCTGGTGGTGCCGGCATCCACGGGTGAGTTCGAAGGATCTTTTGAAAGGGATGGCCAGACGAAGGAGCATACGCTGCTGGTGCGCAGTCTGGGCGTGAGCCAGATGATAGTTGCCGTCAACAAGATGGACTCTGTACGTATATATATATATATATATATATATATATATATATTTATTCATGATATATCTTGAATGAACCTCCAGGTGAATTGGTCCCAAGCCCGATTTGAGTACATCCAAACGACATTGCGGGCGTTTTTGCAGCAGTCAGGCTTCAAGCTCGACCAGTTGTGGTACTTATTGAAATGAATATATATATATATATATTTCCGAATATGGCGGCACAGTCTATATATATATATGATGGATCTCTCTATCACACAATGCAGTTTAAAGCGAAGTGAATTCGTAGGTTTGTTCCTGTGAGCGGGCTCTCGGGGACGAACTTGATAGCGCCCCCGGACTTGGCAGACGCGGCATGGTACTCTGGGCCAACGTTGGTGCAGGCTATTGGTAAGGGAGTGTTATCAGTAGCTTCTCATTGCATTCCTAATAGTATTGTGAATCATTTTATATATACTATGTATTACACTATATGGTATATATCATTAAAATATCAATTATTTACTCTGGTATGATGAATCAACAATCGCCAGACCTTCGAAATATGATATATAACTATGTTTAAGGGGCATCTTTACCATGCATTCCGTTTTAGCCAATCAGAATACAACTTTGACTTCTTTGCGCCAATCATACTGGGTTGCTCCATTTCAACCATAATCTCTCCAAAAAGTGGCAAATTTAGGTAAAAAGCACCATACTACAACTACTAGTAGTACTAGTCCTTCGCTTTCTTGTATATATATATATATATGTATATATTGGCATATTTGACACGTTTTCTGTTGTGATACTCTGATATTTGATCCTGTGTGCAAATGAATTCTCGTGTATACAATATATATATATATATATATATATATATATATATATATTGAAGTATATTGTATAAACATCACAAAACGACAGTACTGACAAAGAAATATGTAGATAATTTTGCGCCACCACAACGCCCAATCACAAAACCGTTCCGGATGGGCATCTCGGACGTGTCCAAGTCGATGAGTCTTGGGCTAACAGTCTCAGGGCGCGTCTACACTGGAGCGTTGAGCACGGGCGACACGGTACGATTACGCAAACATGTCTGTCGGTCGGTCGTACGCGCCATACATAAACCAAGACGATATGGACAACCCCCGTTTGACATACCACTGTTAACAATAACTGGAATGGTTGGAATGGTAGGTGTTGTTGATGCCGGGGGGAGTGCGTGCTACCGTAAAAGCCATCGAGATGAACGGCCTGCCGGTGCTGCTGGCGTCCGCAGGTGATAATGTGGACGTGGGGCTGGCGGGGCTCGACCCGTCGGCGCTGCATGTGGGCGGCCTCTTGTGCTCGGTCGTGTCCCCAGTTCGGGTACACATCCATCCCAATTCTGTCGCAAGTGTCTCTCTCTCTGCGACATGGTGTCGTTTGTTTGTCGGGATCGTTCAAACTCTGTCGCAAGTCTCAAAATACTAGATATATATTGGGTTTATATATCTATTTTCACACGAGTCCTTGGATTCGCTACTACGTCGATCATCGATTGGTGTTTTACTTGCCTGGATTCTTTATGCCAATCATGTTAGTATGCCAATCAAGTTAGTCTTTCTCATAGTTGTGTATATGTGAGTTTACACTATATGTAGATGGTGCGCAAGTTTGAGGCGCAGATCATGACCATGCCAGGCGTCGAAGTGCCGCTGGTAAAGGGCACATGTGTGACACTGCACATCCACAGCGTCGACGAGCCGGTGCACGTAACGCGCCTCGTGAGCACTCTGAAAAAGTCGGGCGAAGTGGACAAGAAAAAGCCGCGCTGTATCACACGCAACAGTTCGGCGGTCGTGCAAATCTCGAGCCAGCGTCCACTGGGACTCGAACTGTTCAGCGAGTTCCGAAACCTCGGCCGATTCACGCTGCGCGACCGCGGCGTAACGTTGGCCGCCGGCATTGTCAGTGAAATCCTCCTCTAGACAATAACCATGGAGTCATATACACAACCCACGACACGTTGTCGCATATTCTATTTGGCCACGGAGCTTGGTGTTTTCAACACGGTGTCGCACACTAGTAACTCGGTATCGATAGCTCAGGGTTGTGTACACTATAGTATCAAAATCATGGGGATAAGATGGAGAGTCGGGGACGTCATAAACAGGGCCGATCCCCTGTCCACCGTCGCCAACGAGTGCGACCCCTACAGTAAAGTAGTACCATAAGTAATCGGTTCTGATTTCAATATGGGCGTTCCGACTTCTAAGCGGAAAACATGCAACGCCTTGCCATATATTTTACCAAGTAAGGAATCGATGTCGCCTAGCATGCATGTGTGTATGATGTACTCACAGTGTACTAGTTAGTACGTGTAATAAGACGGTACTTATTGTAAGTTGACGTATCCACGGACGATATGGCTTTGCACGTGCATACCCCAAACTCGCATGCATGCTGGCCTACAGTAGTCGTTATTATCATGCAGCTGACGGAACGAGCAATTCGTTGCCCTTGACGTTAGTCGTCCAGCAGAGGGGGGGGGGGTGTTAGGGTTATGACGTGGAGCCAACCAGATCTCTGGCGTCGTTCCAAGCATGCATCGTAGTTTATAGGAGGTCATAAAGGTGTGCCTGGGGGGGCAACGTTATGACGCAGCTAAATGCGCAAAGGTAGGTACTATAGACGTAGGTAGGTACAGGTAGGTACGCACTCATTGGTAGTCGTGTTGATCTGCTCCACTACAAAGCCAAGTCAACAAACACTTGACCTTTGTATACAAGTGCGCACCAGTAGTTCTGCCGCCCGCCGCCTTGTGCTCTTTGCGAGTCCTGGCCTTGATCGTTGTCGCCGGCGATCCTTTCAATCGCCCACTTGCTTCTTCACCCACACCATCTCAACATTCAACCGCCAAAAGCACCGCCACGACGGCAGCAAGACTACCTTGGGGTCCATCACCCGCACATTTCTCTCCGTGTACACGGGCTGCAGTACACTTTGACGACGCAGGCAGCGCCACTCGACATGTTGACGAGCACATGCGGCAGGTCCGCCACGCACACGAGGTATATTTCTTACTTGCGGTCGAGCATAAGCCAGCCAGCGAGCCAGACGTTGGTTTTGTCGACTTGGAACGCCTCCTGGGTGAACCGAAACAGCGACGGACGATGCGTCGCGAGCCCCCGCGACGACCACACGGAAGATGACTCTTGTGGACAAAAGTTGTCTAGAAAGTCCGTCGACACGGTCGAGATCCCCGCCATGTGATGGCACGGTACGTCCAGTGGGTGGGGAGGCGGCGTCACCACCGTCAAGCTCTCGTCGTCGTCGTCGTCCTGGTGGACTGGTTGAAGCGGCGAACAAGCCGGGTTTTGATCCGCCATAGCCCCCCGCGACTTGGACGAATTTGACCGAGCCCAGGCACATCAACATGCCGACGCTCGGCACGACAAACCAGACGAACTCACGGGCAACAAGCCAAAGGAGGGGGGTCGTTGCCCCCTTCCAATTGGTACCGCGTTCACATGTTCATACTCGAGTTCGAGTGCGACACGTCGTTTGGTTCTTTAAAACATCGACGCGGCAAACGCGTACATTTCCGACTCCATGGCCTCGGACGACATCGCGATTTGTTGGCCAATCGCGTCGCTATATGTATATCACACGACCAAGATGGCGACAGGCACGAGCAGGTTCAGCCCCGTCCGTCGCGACCGCGTCCGTCCACACCAAACAGCGCCAACAAGTGGCACCGGATGATTTCCGTCCGGGCGACCAGGGGCGTCAGGTGGTACCGCCGGAACGCGGCCGCGATCGCCCATTCGTACACTTCGACCCCTATTTAAAACTATAAAAAATAGATCTATTTTTGAAATAGTGATACGAATATTAACTGGTAGTATTTGTTTTACCGTTGGTAGACAAATCGTTTTACTAGTAACTCCCAGTCAAGTTCCGCATCAATTAGTTTGGATATTATTGGGACGCGTTATGAGTCAACAACATCAAGCCACGGCTTTGTACGCTTCATTTTGCCTGGTAAAAGCAATCTTTTCGTTGATTGTGCCCAACACGCTCACTTTGTTTACTAATATTAATCAATTTCCTAGTTATGCCAGTGACCGAGCCAAGTGTCGAGAAGACGTGGACCGCGACGCCGGCCGTATTTGCGTGTTCGCTTGAGATACGTACGACGACGTGCGAGACCCACCCGACACTTGCGACGTCGCTTGGGACAGTCGCGGAGTCACTAACCATATATTTAGAAACTTCAAATACAAGCCACCTTTTATCACCAACCAACGCAGCAATACTACCACTACATCATTCAATATATAAATATATCGTACCTTTGCGTTTCCCCTTCATGTGCTTGACGGTGGCCGGTGTGGCGTCGCCTACTGAGATCTCGCGCACCCACAACACGTCGACACTGAGATGGCGGAGGTGCCGCAGCGAGATAGTGGTCGGGGGTAGCGGCACGAGGCGCGGGTTGAGAAACAGGCGGGGCGGGCGAGGGAGAGCGTGTACATTGGGCTTGGTATTATCTTCATCGACGGCGCACCCGTACACCTTGACGATGCTGGACGTGGCCATGACGCCGTTGACAAAGAGGTTGGGGAGGTCGTCGATCCGGACGAGGTGCCGGCGGCCGACGAGCACCCACCCGGCAGTCCAAATGCTCGACCTGTCGAGCTGGAATTCGGAGTTGTGGTACTGGGGCACCCCGAGCATTGTGCCATCGTTGGCAGAGGTGGGGGGGACGGACACCACGCCCCATTGGCCCAGAGCACGCGGGGGGATGAAAGGGGCTAGAAACTGCAGCGTGTTCGACTTGTTGTCGATAATCTTGCACGGCTCCAGGTCCCGCGTGGAGGGCATGCGGCCGGAAGGTGTCACTGTTGTCGACAAGGAACGGACGAGTACGTGGACCAGCTTGACGAGGGCGAGGCCGACTGCCATGACAACACAAGCCGCGAAGAACCACACGTATTCCCGCATGACAAACCACATGGCCGGGTCGTCCATCTCTTCCAACGGGTACCGTGTCCAGATGTCCATGGTTGTGGGGGAATATGTGAGAAGGTTGCGCATGTACACGTCGTTCATGTACGACGCCACGTCTTGTTCCATATCGGACGTGAGTGCTTGCACCAGCATCTCGCGTTGAGTGTAGCACAATATGAAGAGGATCACAGGTACGATGGGCACCACGGCGACGTGCATCGCGGTCGCGATGACATCGGTCAACACGAGGAATGTCACGAAACTGTCGCTGAGAACGACGTCGTCGCTGCCAATCATCGGCTCCAAATCATACCGACGGTAGCCCGCGGTGAGCGCCCACTCTTGCACGATCCAAAACCGGTCGGCGAACACTGTGACGAAGATCAAGAGGGCGCGAAGGCGGAGCTGCCGCTTGACGATCCCGCACACGTCCGGGAGCCAGAATTGGGGGCCCCATAACGACATGGCAGCCATGTGGTGCGACACCCCCACGGGGAACCCAATGCGAAGCCCCACCGTGACGATACCCAGCACATGCATCCACGTCCGCGAGTCCTTGGAATGTCCCTGGGCCTGGAAGTTGTCGATGGCGAAATCTCGCACTGGGGTTGCGTCCATGGCTACCACGTAGCGCACAAAGCTCGTCTGAGATGACTTGCTGCCTCGGTAGTACCCTACATACAATTGCACCGTCGAGTTTAGATGGATGCCCCGATACATGGGTATAGTGTATTTTTCCCTGCCATCGCCTCATTTGGTAGACTAGAACGTACCGGAATAACCATTAAGGACGATCAACTCGTTGGTGCTTTTAACTCGCCACCTCCACTGGTTCAGTCGCGAAGACTCGTCGTCCGCCACGCTAATCGCGTCGTGGAATGGCGTATTTGGTTCGTATGGGAAGTCAAACGACACGAGCGTTCGGTACTCGGACACACCGTCGTACGTGAGCCCAAACATGTCGAGAACCCGGGCACCCACGACGATGGTTCCGTCCGGGGCACCGAGGCCGAACCGACTCAGTTGCGCGGAGGACACGACCACTGGCCCCACTTGCACCTCCATGCGGGTACTTTCCCGCACGGCATTCATCGTTTGGAGCGCAAACGACGTCATGGTTGTCAGGTTGACGTCAACTAAGTACGCTTTCAACATAGACGTGTCTTGGATCTGCCGTCCGCCATACGCGCAGTCGACGACGGCGACGTGGGTAATGATGGGAACGTGATGATGATCATCATCCTGTAGAAGGTTGATGGAAGTCGAGTGGTTGATGCCGTGGAGGATGCGCTGGAGTAGCGGCAGGAGGTGCCAGTCGGTGTACAGGCGGTCGCTGCTTCGGTACCCGCCCAGGCTCGAGCAGTTGCCAAACACGACGTGGTACTCTGTGGGGTCAGAGTCGTCGGGTTCGAGGTACAGAATGCGCTGGCGGGCCGCGACTGCTGTCTCAATCTCGTGCAGTTGCCTCGTCCGGTTGCGGATGCCCATCTTGAGATAGCGTCGAATGGTTGCACAGTCGTATGTAGTATAACCAGGTTCAGGGGCGTCGTAGCCGTACAGTGCTTTTCCAGCTGCGATGGTCGCAGTTATGTCAGTCAGCATGATGACTATAGCACTCGCCATGGAGGTAAACACAATCAAACGCTGGAGCCACCAACGAGGAGGCTGGCGGCAGCACCATGGCATTGTGCAGCCAGTAGAGTCGGCCAGCGTTGACATGGCCATATGTACAATGCACGACAAACTCCAAAAATAGGCGACCGGTTCACAGGCAAGAGTGATTTATCGATTGGGCTAACGTTACATTTGCATAAGTGTAGATTTTATAGAATTCCCTAATCATACCTAGTTGCACTGTGCAGTACCGTTTCATGCAGTTCCTGTCGTGGCTCGATGGTCTGGAGAGGTTAACTTGATGTTGCCAATAGCTAGAACTGGCTATGGCAGCATCGACGTTATCCTCAAGTTATCTCATTCACAAACCGCGCGGGGACGACTGGACTTTCAGTTTTTCGCTACAGTTGCCCTAATGCGCAAATTCGAAGTATGTATCTGTCAAATCGCCACTCAACGCTGCCACGTCACGCTCATAACGTTACAGTGTCGAATTTTGCCACCAACTCAAGAAACGACGCTAAAGGCTACTATTAATAACTTAGTAGTACATCTCAGTACATAATTTTGGACGCTTATACTACTAATATACTACTAGCGTTACATATGTAGTTCTAGCGTACGGTTGTCTTCGTGTTGGCAACACGGAGTCGTGGCTCGGCTCGAATCACACTACTCATTTGAAATGTCCATTAGGTCCAGCCCCCAACAAATACCTGTCAACATACAGTCTTTGAATTGGACTTGCAGTAGTGCATGCGAGGTTCTACTCGTGTTGCAATTTCCACTTTGGTTAGGAGTACTAGTAGTATATACAGGAGTACTAGTAGTATATAGTACTAGATTTTTTGTAACGTTTCATATTTGTTTCATGAACCACCAAGTAAACACTGTTTCGCGTGTTTTTTTGTACTCTGTCTGTACTCACACAAATATTGAATCCAGTTGAAAGTTCTGATTGGCTGAATATTCTTTTCTGTACGAGCCAATCAGATCCACTCAAACTTGGATTAGCCAATACTATTAATAGCGTCGATTCGTGGTTCGACCAGTGAGAGTCTGGAAATTTGTACCGAATCCACTAGTATACAGTACTAGTATATAGGTAACTACTATATTGCCGTACTAAACTTGGCGACATTGGGCGCCACAGTGACTTCACGCATCGCGCAAATGTATGTTAGTCTTCTTCATCTTGTTCGGTGCTGACAGACTCGTCGGAACTCGCCGCCTCGGGTGGCGCGGCCGACCCATCCAAGTTGCGCTGCTTCAAAATGCCGGTAGAAAACGCGTCCATCAAGTTGTGTTCCCGCGCGAGTTTTCCAGTTTCGTAGATGAGGCGCTCGAGCAGCTTCTTCAGCTTGGGCACGTGCGCGGCCGCCGACGCGTCCTGGATCGACTTGCCATGTGCACAGAGCATCTGCAGGCGGCGGGTGCCGCCTTGGACATGTTTGAGAATGCCCAAAATGCGCTTGGAATGGCCCACAAAGTGCGACTCAAAGAACGGCATGGCTCGCAGCACGTTGTGGAGGAACCCGCTGCTGTGTTTAAGCACCGATGCCACGACCTATAAAAGCCCCGATATTATATAGGTAGACGTTGAAGTGTGGGTACAATAGACGTAAAAAGAATTGTATGCTGGTAAACACAGATGAACGATATATATATATATATATATATATGTTTAGGTCTCGTTGCAACGACTGATAATATGACAAAAAATATACAAGTATCAAACATCAGTACTCGGTGTACTAGTACTTTGCACACGAACAAAAAACGATTGTGAGGATTCCATTCTCAACTCCATTCAATGCATCACCATATATATACATATATTTTATACATACATATATTTTATATATACATATCTTATATATATATACACATATATATACTCTACACGTCAATGTATAAAAAGGTGTTTAACGTTTCCTCCATTCATATAGCATAAGTTGTAGGTCGATAACGCTATAGCCAATCCAATTCCAGAAAATCACACCAATCAGACACTAATTAGTGTATGACTGAAATTAGTGTGGTGACATGGACATTTTTTTTACATACAAAATTCAGTACAAACAAATCGATGGATTTGGCAAATCAACACAAAAGTCCAAAGTTTGGCTTATCAATATACATGGATATATTGCAATGAAAATGGATATATTACATATCCTGTACGTTACCATGCCGGTTTGAAACGAGCGAGTGAGCCCCACGAGCAGCTTAAACAAGAGCGCAGCTTGGTGCAAATAGTGCAGTACATGAACAGGGTTATTCCCGCCTTGTGGGGCTACGTCCAGGCGCGCAGTCCCGCGCACGACCGTCTCAAAGCAAGCACGCACGTACACACCAATTGTTTTCTTGGCTACATATATATATATATATATTATATATGAAAAGCCACATATCACCATTATGGAATATTTGTCCACACGTGTCGTGGGAATTCACATGCAATGGAAATATATATATTTCCATCGAAGGTCTATTCCCAAATATATATCTATAGTTCCCTAGAATATTCCTTTCCACGACGACAACAATATCTATCATATGCAGAGAGAGGAAGAGATCTATATATCTATATATTATATATATATAGAGAGAGAGATGTATATATATTCTGGACGTACTGAGGGTGGGGTAGAATTCGTTGGCAGTTGTAGAGCTAAACGTTTCAAGGAGGTTGACAACACCACAGCACGCCACGTCTTGGACGCTGTCGAGCGGATGCGGTGAAAACTCAAAGTATGCGTCCAGAAACGTGGCCAAATCGGCCGATTTCAATTTCGACGGGTCGGTCGATGGCTGATCATGTGCCCAGTCGCGGCGGAGGTACGACAGTGCCAGCGCCGCCACGGGTGGTGCCGGGTCTCGAGGTGCGGAAAACAGCAGAGCTTTCACATGCAAGTCATTCCACCGGATTTTCAATCGCTCCAGCGCCACCAACGCCGTCAAAACGTGCCCCGCCAAGGTTATGTCCAAGCAAGTCAATGTCGACTGCATGTGAACCAACGCATCCGACATGGCCGAGAGGGCCTACATGATTTAATATTATTATTATGCATGCTGTAATTAACGTATTTAGAACTGTACGTGACGATATATTTCATTGTTTCGAATATAAAAATTGAAATCCACAGAAATATATGTCTATTGAAAGTAATGGTCCACTGAGACTGTGTCGATGGAATGCCACTGGTTATCTATCGTCTAGTATTTCAATATATGCAATATACTTTAATTCATATATATATATAGACAGATGTTAAACACTCCAATATACGCAATATAATAATTTATTTAATTCATACATGTAGAGACAGATATAAAATTCCAAAAAACTATCTGTCCCACGATCGCAGTCACTCTCGGGGATTTCCAGCAATATTACTTTCGAGACCAGTAGTATGAATATATAGAGAATCATACTATAATCCATCCTTCTTCGGAGAAATATATATATATATATATATATATATATTGCATAGCAACATGTTGGTGTTGTCGTAGACTAGACTAGTACCAAATATATATATATATATATATATATATATATATCGCATAGCTGCTGATGCATGGGAACCCGATATATGTCGTTGGTGGGTTCACATTATATATTGTCGTTTACTTACCGTCGCAGATTGGCGGACGTCTTCCATTGGTACGTGGTGCTGTTCCACGGGTAAAATGAGCTGCTGGAGGGCCACAAGTTGCATCAGCGTTTGTTTCTGCTGCTCAAACAAACTCTGGGCTTTGGCTATCACGACGATACATTCAAAGTACTTGGTCACGAGTTCGTAGAGCGTCGAGTGACGTGGCAGTTGGGGCGCGTGGAGCACCCACCGCACGTTATTGGCCACATTTAGGAGGTGGAACTTGAGGTGCTCGTCAAACACGGCAAAGCCAGGTGCGTATACGCCCGAGTGCACGAGCTTCGATCTGGGGGCTTTCAATTGGGTGGCGGGGGTGATTGTGCAGCTCTTGGCTAGCGACGTCCGCAGCATAGACAGAAACTGGTCGACCAGAAACAGCAGCGATGGGGGGTCGATGCTGTCTTTGCTTGTGGGTAAAATACCAATCACCTGAGGATGTACACGGGTAAACGAGGCGCGAATCGCGTGGAGGCGGGGACCGATGGGCGCCACGGCGGCTTTGACTTTTTTATTATTGAGTTGTGGTGGTTTGAACGATGGTTTTTTGAGTTGATTGGTCGACATGTCGGAGCCTGGAGGTAGCCATACACTGGTGGGACAGTTGGCAATCGCGTCGTACAAGATGGATTCAAACTCGACGGCGTTCTCGAGACGCGTTAGCACCTTGCTAGCCAACGCTGCGTCCGAGCTAAAGCAGTTTATTAGGTCCCGACACCAATTCACAGCGTGCCATAACGCTAGAAACACGCCATCTTGTGCGTCTGTGGGCATGTCCCCCAGCTCTGGAATCGCGCTTTTCCTATACAAGGTCAAATGTTGACGAATACTAGTAAATATATATATATATAAAGACTGTACTCCATGAGTAATATCGGACAGATGAGCACTGTCCCAATGTTTTCAAGCGTATCGGAGCGCTTATAACACGACACGACCAGGTTTAGCAAGCTTGACAGGTACAACGGCCTCTCCATCGTGTCTTGGCATGCGACCAACGTCATCAAGTCGAGGTACACTGGGGACTACCACCAACCACGTTATATATATATATATATATATATATATATATATCGTACGTTCAAGCGCGTGATGGCCCACTGGTCGCATCGGAACGTGTCGTTAAACACAGGTCGTTTGTACGCGCCTTGTTGATGGCCTCGGGCGTCAAACCCGGGCAAGAACTCTTGCATGAGCACATCCGAGTACTTTTCATCCAAAATCGCCAGCATTTGACTGGTACGATGCCCTCGTCTTCCCATCCGATGCACCAAGTGGTTCAGTTCAGCATACATGAACGACAGGGCGTTGGCTTGCTTCCGACACGCGTCTCGCAGTATATCGAGTCGGTCGCGCATTCTCTTTTCAAGCTGGTCGGGATTACCACCTTCGCTTTCATCCAATCCGTCCATATTGTTGATGATATTGTTCTCGTCGTACAGGTCGGCTTCGAGGCAGCAAATGTACCCGAGCATCCCGCGGGTTCGGTACAGATTGTCTTGGTGGTACAGCTGCTTGCGTACTGTGATGCACAAGTCGGGGTCGGTGCTCCCACCCACGCCAAACAGCAGCTGATACACGCGGCGGCACTGATCTACGCTGAAACGTTCGATGCAATCAAGCAAGTGCTTGAGCAACGACAAGAACTTGTCCAAACTATGCTGCTCGTGGCTAGATAATGCCAGCAACGTGTCCAGCGCGCCATCCACCGTCGACTCACCCCCGCTAGACATGGCAAAATCCACCAAGTCCGACACAATCTATGGGAACATATCATCCGAACGACCTTTGAAGTATCTTTACCAGTCAGGATCATACACATCATCACGACAAACGTGTAGATATATAGATACATATATATAATAGTGACATCGATACTTGATTGATGCATACATATATAAATATATATATCACCAAGTCGGACATGATCTATTGCATTCTACCGTTGAGAACGATGACGATCATTGCGATCATAGTCGACGTAAAAGACCACATATATATCGAATGTTGAAAGAAATACATGTAAATCCATCCTTACGACATATATAAAAAATATCGAATGTTAACGAAAAATAATATATATATATATCAATACATCCTTCCAACGTACAGGGTGGCATATATATATATATATATATATATATATGAGTCACTTACTTGTATCTGGTACTCGTACACGTGATCATCCCGTGCAGTGGCGAGTTGGTTGAATACAATCGTCAACATAAACTGGCCCATGGCAACCGCGTCTGGCGCTTGGAGTGCCGCGCCCGCGAGATGTACCACCGAGTTCAAGTACGGCGTCAGACCTCCCAGATGCGCCGCCAGGGCCCCATGCAGCACTTCCTTGGTGAACACCCCATTCGCGGCGTTCTTGACGAAAACTGCGGCGGCCTTGACCTTTCCCGGGCCAGACTGGGACGAATGTAGCCCCACCAGCGTCCACACGTCCAGAAGAGAGGCTGCAGTTGAAGTGGCCACGAGCTTAAAGAAGCATGCGAGCAGATCGCTGCGAAACCCCAAGCCGTGCACGAATTGCTGGAGCAGGAACGCTTCGTCGTTGGACGCGGCGGCGGTCTGGAGGATGCACTCGCTAACCTTGTCGCGGATGGCGTCGAGTGTCTCGACGGCGTTGGCGTCAGTAGCGGTCTGGACGAGGAACCGCACGAGGCCAGGCATGTCTTGCAGACTCGACGACGTCAACCGACCGAGGATGCACCGCGTGACGTCGTCCGAGATATCCACGGGCATGTTAAAGTTCGACAGCGCTTCAATCGCAGGTACGACCAGCTCGTTCTCGCTGCTGATCGTTTCGAGCAACGTGTCGACTGCCAGCTACCAAAGCGACTGCATGTGAGCAACGAAGATGAGAAAGGACATGTGCATGTATTTGGGAAAGGCACGACTCAAATGATGTGCTCATGAGACAAGTATAGCGGTAGGTAGGTCGTACTTGAAAGTCGTTGTCGGCCACGAGCTCGGGGAGGATGTGCAGGATGTCTTTCTGAAGGAACATGGGGTACGTGTTCAATGTCGTCAACAGGTGCTCGGTCAACGCAGACGGCTCGTACACGCACTCCATCCACCGAATGTGGCGCAGGATGAGACTGCATATGCCAGAAGAAGGCATCAACCCCCCTACGATGGTGCCCGTTTCGTCGACCGCCTTTTGGGCAAACTCACTCAAGTGCTCCAACAAGAGATTCAGCAACGGCGTTTGGATGCTTTCGTGGCGTAGCAAGATACGCATGAAGCTATCTTTCTCCGAGAACGACGTGAGCATGCTTTGAAGCTCCAACGGGTCGGCAAGCAACATCTCCAAATCGCGGAGGGTGGCGTCCGGCGGCTGCAGACTTAGCGCGCGTTCCACGGCGATAAAGTCGTCCTCTCGCGTCTCTGCCTTGAAGATAGAGATGCGGTGATCCGTGTCAGGCGCTTCCGCTGCCACGTCTTCCATGGCGTCCCAGAAGGTCTCCCATGCAGCGATGACACCCGTCGCATTCGCGCGTTTCCGCTTCTTCGCCATCATCAATCCTGTGCTTGAACTTGCGCGGGAACGAGAACCTGTAACATATGATATTCATAATAGTACATGTATTGTTACAGTTACCTTCTGGCGATTGATAATAAATATTTTCGCTACATGAATATAAATATATATATATTTGCAATAAGATTCGCAACAGCAGTTTCATTGAAGGAAATTATCCGGACACGAATAATTCAGAGAAACGACCGACGAAGCCACGAGCGAAGGCATCAATACCACAATCATCAACCTTCCTCGTAAGCCCGCGCAGGACCATCTCACAAGACACCACCGCCGTCCATCCAGCACCAGACACGACTTCCTGGCCCATTCGACATGAACCAGCTGCGTAAGCTTGCCAGTTACGTCGTGGAAAGTTCATTGAAACCATCGGCATCGTCGGCGCCGCCGAGTCCACACACCGCACCAGTTCCTTCGTACAAGCATCTAGACTTGACGTACGTGACAACACGCCTTCTCGTGAGCGGTCATGCTATTGACGGACCGACCGACAAGAAGAGCTGCGTGAACAACGCAGGGGAGATGAAGTCGTACTTGGACGCGGCCCACGCCGGAAAGTACGTCGTGTTCAACCTGAACGACGAAAGCGCCGACACGGCGGTGATTTCCCCTCAAACGTTGGACTTTTCATGGGAGCGCGACGGCGGCATTCGCACGTACACCCCTCCGTCGGACCATATCTTCCGCATATGCTACGCCATCTTTGCGTGGCTGGCGTTGGATGCAGAGAACGTCGCGCTACTGTACTGCCACAACGGAAAGACCCGCAGTGGGGTCATCTGCGCGTGCTATTTTTTATTTGTCCGCACCGTCGACGACCCCATGTCCGCCCTGGCACAGTTCTACCAGAAGCGCCTCGGCATCGATACGTTGACCCCGGAGTACGTCAAGAAGAGCATGCCCATCTCGATTCAAAGGTACTACACATACCCTAGTTGTCCTATAATATGTATGCTTCAAATATATTGGTCCAAACAAACATTATTGTTCTTGACATTTATATCGACTATTTCAACTGCTTTCCTTTGAAAATTCGTGTAAAAATATCGAATATTTTTGGGAAAGAGGTCAAATTTGTATTTAGGAATAATTCTACTTTGGGATAACAAGCATTGCATGTTTTGCTTTCTCGACGCTACGTGAATGAATATTCATACATGTAGATGTATGTATATATATTTCCGTCCATATATCGACTCAACTTGGACGCAAATATATACATACATATATATATATATATTTGCGTTCCAGTTGAGTCGTCGATATATGTGCAGTGTACAAGGTATATATATACTACGTAGTGTATATTAATGCACTAGTCCAGGTGTATTGCAGAATACACGCAATAGTGTGTCGTACTTGTAGGTTTGTACATGCCGACATTCTAAATATATATATGATATATATATTTATTTGTTCACTAGTCCAGGTTGTTGTTTTTTGTGTGTTTTGCAGACTACGCGGTACTCTGTATCATACTCGAAGATATATATACCTTATTCAAGTATACATATCTTGATAAACCATTGCGTTAGATTCGTGTCCAACTTTTCCACTATCATGAACACCCAAGCCATTCCCAACCCCGAGCCGTTGGTGCTCAAAGCCATCATGTTTCGCGCGCTGCCGGTGGAGATGGCGCCGCTGGTGCAGCTCTGGGATGACCACAAGATGGTGTTTTCCTCGGCTTCGAATGACTCGTCCAAGCCCGTGATGGACTGGAACCCCGAGGATGGCTTCTTGGCCATTCTGTGGGAAACTGGCATTCCTTTAGACGGCGGATTTACCATCTTGTGCTCGTTTGGCGACGATTATGACGGTGCCGACAACGACGGGTCGTCCCCACCCGACCCAGCATCCCGCGGTACATACAGTACATTTATATATTTCGCCATGGTTCTCTTCGCCGTGATTGTATTCTTTTTATTGAAATTGATTTTATATGTGTATTCTATGCAACCCAACAATCGCTGGACCTGTGAAACATGATATATATATAAGTTTAAGAGGTATCGTTATATTCGTGTTAACCAGTCATACCTTCGTTCGTATTATCCAATCAAACTGCGTTGCTCGATTTCTTGGTGATTCCAACCCAATCCTCCAAACTTGGTCAATATTGGGGCGAACAGGCCAATCTAATTCTTTATTACAAATCATATAGTATTGTGCTTTCGAGTGAATTGCATTGTGTTGTGGCGTGGTTTCTCGTTTAAATCGATTTGATTGGCTACTTCAGATGAGCTCAAAATTATTAGCCAATCAAAACCTTCTCAATGAAATTCAACCAATCAGATCGATTGTGGAGCGGTTTGGTCGGCGCGATTCGATTTCCCCAAATTTGTATCAAATCGACAATATATAAATATATATATGATTTGTAGTGCTATTTCGGTACATGAACTCGACGTGGTTTCTCCACTCGGGTCTTGTGACTCTGCAAAAGCCCATGCTGGACATGATCAAGCAGTACGAGCACGGGTTCGACCTCGACAACTTTAGCGTCGACATGGTCTTCCACGACAGTCTCGACCCGCCTAAGCCGACCGTCCCCGTCGATTATACTGGCAATTACGCCGTCAAGCAGGGGATTGTCGAGATGGCGAGCCACCACACGACCGCACCTGACCCGTCCATGTACATCAACTTTGTCAAAAACGGGTTCGATGCGACCGCGTCTACGTTTGCGCTGCAACGGGCGCAGAACGCGCCGAATGTGGCGCTGGACATTTTGCATTCCGAAGGGATTTCGACCATCTTTACGCGGTTACTGCCGCTGCATCCGTCGCCTTTGAAAGCTGCGGCAGCTGGGAAACCCTTTACGTTTCCCAGAGGCGATGGTCCAAGTAGTAGTACTAATAGTAGTACTAGTAGTAGTAGCCCCACCACCACCATCACGTCGTACAGCGACAACCAAGACCGCCAAAGTATTCTCCCAAACACTAGCGTGCAAGTTGCTACCGATGGGGCGACCATGGGGTTAACTGGGCGAGACCTGTGTGCCGACGACGCGCCTTTGAGTGGCGGAATCGTGAGAAGCCACTACGGAGGACCTCGACGCCATTCGCTGGACGCCACAAGAGCTCCATCCATTTCCGTACCATCAGTACAGCCTGTAGTCAAGTTTGAAGACGCCGTGTGCGCCGTGTGCAGGGAAGAGGACTACGTGCTACGGCCCCAACTCGTGCGATGCAACGTCGCGAGCTGTCGCCGATACTTTCACACGACATGTGCCGGGCTCAAGAAGATTCCATTTGGCCTCACGACAATGAGCGACCGCGCCAATCATGCCGCGTACATGAAGAAGTTTTTTGGGGCGTGGGAGTGCGCCGACTGCCAAGCTGCTTCCCGCCAATCAAAAACAGTAGCCACGACAACAATAGCAATAGCAGCAGATTCGCCAAGCAAAACCAGCCCCACCAAGCAAAAACTCGAGAAGCTTCGGCTGTTGCTGGATGAGAAGGGACTCTCACTCGATGATTTGCTCCAAGCAGCCGACGCCAAAGACACTTCGGCCGCTCAACAAGTACAACTACCACTGGCGTCGTCATCATCGGCGGCGGTGGACAAGTACCAGCGTATGGCGGACAATGGGGTGCCGCGGGAAGCCGTGCACAACTGCATGGTGCGCGACGGCGTGCCGGACCCGTCGGACTTGCTCCAGCATGTCAAGCCCAAGACACGATCAAACGCTGTCGCAGAGAATGCAGCAGCATCCCAGCCAGATGTGCTCTTGCTCCGACATGCGATACAGTTTCACGGGTACTTTGAAATGCTGCAAAAGGGGTGCTCCAAGGACGCAGTCAAGCACAAGATGAAAATGTGTGGGCTGAACCCAGACATTTTGGACTTGAACCCGAACGCCGTCTACGTGGACGTCCGCGACCAGATCGAAGCGCTGCAGACGCAGTACTCGCAGCCGAAAGCGTCCCCCCACAAGCCGGACACCGCCGCTGGTAGTCCGGTGAAACCAGTCGGGGCCTCCACGACACCTCCGTCCTCCCAAGAATCACAAGCGCAGAGTAGCGTTATATTGCCAACTTTGCCGCTAAAGCAAGAAGAAGAGCCGGAGACTGCCCCGGTTCCAGACGTGGATTCGCCCAAGGCATCCGGCAAACTCCAGGACGATGCCACGTATGCCAAGTACTTTAAGATGCTTCGGTTGAATATCCCCGAAGAAGCCGTTCGATTGAAGATGAAGGAACATGGAGTCAACTTGAAGGCGTTGGAACTTGGCCCGGATGGGCTGGTGTCGGACTTGACTACTGCGGAACCAGCCAAAGCCGAAGCTCCACTGCTCAAAGATGATCCAGTCTATGGCAAGTACTTTAAAATGCTCAAGATGAACATCCCCGAAGAAGCCGTTCGATTGAAGATGAAGGAACATGGGGTCAACTTGAAGGCTCTGGAGTTGGGGCCGGATGGGCTGGTGTCGGACTTGACTACTGCGGAACCAGCCAAAGCCGAAGCTCCACTGCTCAAGGACGACCCAGTCTATGGCAAGTACTTTAAAATGCTCAAGATGCACATCCCTGAAGGAGCTGTGCGACAAAAGATGATTGAGCATGGAGTCAACTTGAAGGCTCTGGAGTTGGGGCCGGATGGGTTGGTGTCGGACTTGACTACTGCGGAACCAGCCAAAGCCGAAGCTCCACTGCTCAAGGACGACCCAGTCTATGGCAAGTACTTCAAAATGCTCAAGATGCACATCCCCGAAGGAGCTGTGCGACAAAAGATGATTGAGCATGGAGTCAACTTGAAGGCTCTAGAGTTGGGGCCTGATGGGTTGGTGTCAGATTTGATGGTCAAAGCTCTGCTCAAGGACGATCCAGTGTACGCCAAGTACTTCAAGATGCTCAAGATGCACATCCCTGAAGGCGCCGTGAAGCAAAAGATGATTGAGCATGGAGTTAACCCCAAGGCGTTGGAGTTGGGGCCTGATGGGTTGGTGTCGGACTTGACGGCTGGTTCGACGTCGCCGCCCAAGCCGGTGAAAAAAGTGATCCGCCGAAAGAAGCTGTTCTGGCAGGCGCTGCCGGAAGACCGACTCAAGCGCGCGTCGAGCACGATCTGGGAGGACGAGGACCACCACATCCAGCTCGACATGGACGAGATCGAAACTCTATTTTTCAAAGACACTGCCAAAGCGGCCTTAACCAGCGGCGCCCAGAAACCGCTCGCTCGAAAGCAAGCCGTGACGCTGGTCGATGGCAAGCGCGCTATGAACGCCGCGATCGCATTGGCGCGCATCAAGCTGAGCTACGCCGACGTGGCCAAAGCCATCGACACGTTCGATGCCATGGGGCTGACGCTGGAGCAGCTGACCACGATCAACGAGTTCCTCCCGACAAGCGAAGAAGTTCGAGTCGTCCAGAGGTACACGGGCGACCCAGCCGTGCTAGGGGAGGTACGGGGATGATTGGTACCCGTTGAACTGGCCCTTTTGAATGAAGCTAACTACTGTGCTGTACTTGTAATCTCACGAATTCAAGCCATACAGTGTGGATGATACTGTTCATGACGATCTGATAGTTTTGTGGAAATCGGATTCGGTCAATTATCAAGTTATCCGTGTATGTGGTCATTTTGATGTTGAAAAGTAGATTGATGATTTAATATTTCAAAGAATATGAAACATGATGTTTGTGAATAGAATACACGAACACTGTAAAAACAATTTGAAAGAAATAAAATATTTATTTTGTGTCATTCTTCTCCATGTTGCTCCAGTGTAGAATCAACACACTATTGTCGATTTGATAGTACAAATTTGGGGAGGGGATCGCGCCGACCATATCGAACCTCAATCGATCTGATTGGTGAATAATTTCATTGAGAAGGTTTTGATTGGCTAATAATTTTGAGCTCATCTGAGGTAGCCAATCAAATCGATTTAAATTCCAACGAGAAACCACAACACAATGAAAGTTCACTCGAAAGCACAATATAATACATTGTATTTTTCATAACTTGGCAACATGTATGCTGGTGGTCATGGCTTTGGCCCTAGATATATTGACTGCAATCGAATGATGTGACATTTCTCGATACATATACAATATATATAAAACTGATGTGTCCATATTGCCTCTCTGCTATATATATATATATATATATATATATATATATATATATATATATGAGTTTTGCATGTCTTGACAAACTTGGACGTTGTTGTATGTTGTAACGTTAGGCGGAGAAATTCTTTGCCGCGATCTCGACGGTGCCCCGGTTTGCAACCAAGATGGAGTGTTTGATCTCCAAGCAAGCGTTTGGTTCGCACGTGGCCGAAGTCACAACGTCGCTGCACAACGTAATCAAAGCATGCGAAGACGTCAAGGAGAGCCGCCTGCTCAAGCTACTTCTGGGCACGGTGCTCAAGTTGGGCAACACGTTGAACGGCGGCGAAGAGACCGAACATGCGATCCGCGGCTTTTCGGTCGATTCGTTGCTCCGGCTCGGCCACACCAAGACTAACGACCAGAAGACCACCGTACTGCACTACTTGGTGCGCGTGCTACGGAAAAACCAGCCCCATGTGCTCGAGTTTCAGTCGGAGCTCCAGCATGTTTCGCTGGCGGCGCGAGAAGCCATCGAGTCCATCGATCAAATGTACGCGGCCCTCGACGCCGACGTGAAAAAGACTGCCGACGAATGCCGCCATATGCAAACGGTACATTTCACTATATATATATCCATCAAACTTGTCCTTTTGCCACCAATATTTGGCTGACTTTTTGTGCTGAATCTTTGCCAAATCTATCGTCGACTGATTTTTTGTCCTGACTTTTGTATGTAACGATCGTCCAGTAGTTATCACACTAATGTCAGTCACAATCTAATTTGAATCGGTTGACGAGTGAATTTGATTGGCTACTTGATTCGTGTTGTGGGTTTTTGATTGGTCGATTATCGATTGTCTGCCGATTTGGTGATTCTGCTCATACTCGATGGACTATCCAATTTCGAATATATCGACGTGAAACATATATATATGATCTATCAACCGTGTGTTGTTCGTGTCTACGTTGGAGAGATCGCGTTGAAAATCGAAATCATCGTCCATGGATGAATGGGGTTGTATGTATGGGATAATAACTATAGATTATTGATTTATATATTTAATATACCATAAACATACATACCGTGGTGAAAACAACACATAGGAGGATCATTGATTTGTATGGTACGAATTGTTTCAACACCGATCACGAAGCGTTCCGATTGGTCACACTGAAATTACGTTTCGCTGATTGGCTACATTATTGTTTGACTTTGTGCTTTATGAGATATTGTGCTTTCGAGTGAAATTTCATGTTGTGTTGTAGTTTCTCGTTGGAATTTAAATCGATTTGATTGGCTACCGAAATTATTAGCCAATCAAAACCTTCTCAATGAAATTCAACCAATCAGATCGATTGTGGATCGGTTTGGTCGGCGCGATTCGATTGCACCCCCTCCCCAAATTAGTACTATATTGCGACTGCAACCACGAATTGTCTGACATTTTCAGAATATGTATGAGAATCACACACCAATCCGACGTTGGGAGTGTAGGACGAGGCTGACCCGGCGGTGATCGCGTCGTTTCAAGCTGCAATTGCCCACGCCACGCACGAATTGGAGATTGTGCAGCGCCATATTGGCGACATGAAGCACCAGCTCACGACCGTGTTCGAGTACTTTGGAGAGGATCCGACCAAGAAACCGAGCGAGTTTTTCCAAACGCTGTCGTCGTTTTGCTTGGTATGGAAATATATATATATATATATATAGAGAGAGAGAGATCCTCATGTTAGTATATGGAATATAGGCATTTGAAAAGGCCAAGCAGCAAGTCGAGGCCGCCGACCAAGCCAAGGAACGCGCCGAACGAAACACGAGCAAAACTCGTCCGCGGGCGTCGACTCTGTTGCATCCAGCGGAAAAAGCCAAACTTATGATGGCAAAGAACTCGTTTTCATTCAAACACAACAATGCCCACAAGCTGGTTCCCACGACGACAATGACAGCAAAAGCGTCGTCCTCCACCTCCAGTGCAGACCTCGATCGAACAGCATCTTCGCGCTTTTAATATAGCAATCAATTGCGCCTAGTACCCACCACACTGATCAATATCAACCACCCATACAACATGCTGGTAGTAGTAGTAGTCCAGTAGTAACCAAAGTTCCATTCTACTTTACGACAAGGGCAAGGTTTAATATATGTATGTGCACCCTACCGGCCATCGCGACCGCCACCGCCGCCGCCATCACGTCGGTCCCTACTGCTCAAATCCATTTCAGTTAGAGCCATCATATTCAAAAAGTACATGTATGAACCATCCTATTCGATGGTTCTATTGTATGTATGTATCCGACAGACTATCGGGGGGAGGGGGGGGGGCGTACCGAATATTGCGGTCGCCACGACTGTTGTTGTTGTTGCCCTGTCGATGTCTGGATGACGAGGACGATGGCTCGGCAGATGAAGCCAAAGTGGCTTTGGGGTGATCGGGTCCACTTCGAGGCACTTTTTGTGCGTTCTCGCCACTCCGAGAGGCGGTCGCGTCGTCCTTGGTCGACGCAGACTCGGACTTTCGCTGCTCGAGGCGGCGCTTCTTGTCGTCTTGCACGCGCTTGACATTGACGTCCACCAGTGACGTCGACACCAATTTACGCGCTTTGGCGGGGGGCTGGTCGGTCAAAGAAGAAGCAGGTGGCTCTGCTGCTGCCTCGTCTCGCTCGCGCTTCTTGAGTCCTCGCTCCAACACTTGCTGCTTTAAGCTGGCTTCCGTCGACAACGAAGGGATCGTACGCGTGTTGGAGGCGGACAGGGTCGTCGGTTGGGTTGACGATGACGTCGGCTTGTCACGCGATCGTTCGCTGGCTTTCTCCATCGATGGAGTCGACGAGGGTTCAATTGATGGCTGCGATGGTTTCTTGTCACGCGACCGACCTCGAGCAGCTTTTTCTACCGCTGGAGCACTAGTAGTACTAGTCGAAGACTGCTGCGATCCATCCGCCTGTGGCGGCTTCTTGTCACGCGACCGCTCTTTGTCCGCTGGCGTACTAGTACTACTACGCGGCGACTCCTTTTTGTCACGCGACCGCTCTTTGTCCACTGGGGTGGTAGTACTACTACTACTAGTCGACTCCTTTTTGTCACGCGACCGCTCTTTGTCCGCTGGCGTAGTAGTACTACTACGAGGCGAGTCCTTCTTCTCACGCGACCGCTCTTTGTCCACTGGCGTAGTAGTACTACTACGAGGCGAGTCCTTCTTCTCACGCGACCGCTCTTTGTCCAATGGCGTAGTAGTACTACTACGAGGCGAGTCCTTCTTCTCACGCGGTCGCTCCTTGTCCGCTGGCGTAGTAGTACTACTACTAGTAGACGACGGGTGCGATTGATCCAACTGTGTAGCCTTCTTCTCCCGCGACCGCCCGCGGGACGAAGGAAGCTTGTCCCCGGCACTCGTCAAAGGCGGCTTGGACGACCCGTCCGTCGGCTTCTTGTCCCTCGATCGTCCTCTCGGGGCATGTTCTGCAGCTTGCGACACTGCCGACGCGCGGTCGGAGGATCGCCCTCTCTTGTCCGTCGGCTGTGGTTGCAAACCTCTTGCGTCCGCGGCACCTGCTACTTGCGACGCCCTCCTCTCCCGCGACCGACCGCGAGACGAAGGAAGCTTGTCCCGTCTACTACTGCTCCCCCCCTTGTCTCCTACGACAAGGGGCTCGGCGTCTGGCTTCTTTTCCCGCGACCGGCCTCGCCGTCGGGGGTGGTCCACGTCACTTCCCTTGTTCTCTCTAGGCGAGTCGCGACGTTCGCTTCGTTTCGACCCTCCTCGATCCGCAACATCGTCGGCATCTTGGCTCTTGGTTGTGTCTGGGAACGACACGTGCATTTTCCGCTTGAGCATGGCCGCATAACTGGTGGCCATGAGCTTGACGTCGCTGCGGTCGTCTTTCGTGAGCGCGTCCACCAACCCAAACAGCTTGTCCGTCGTCGGCCGGGTCGTCGGGAACACGTCGATGAGTTTCGTGAGCAGCACCAGCGAGTTGCGCGTGGGCATGTACTCGCCCGTGGTGAGTGTGTGCGCGTATACTTTTTCCAAGTGATTGTGCCACTTGCGATACAGGTTTCTGTACTTGTCGTAGTCGAGAATGTTGGTCGGGTCGGTCAGGGATACGCTAAACCCGCTGCGCACGCCCTGGTCGTTGAACTCGTCGGCGGATTCGAACCACCGGCCAAGCACTGAGAACGTTTCCCTCAGGAAAATGCCAAAGTTGGACGCCTCGCGCTCGGTTGTACACAGCACCAACCCCGACAGATTCAGCGTTACCTTTTGGTAGTACTGTAGTGTGCTCAGGTGGGGTACGCTGATCGAGTGCAGGTACTGCATAAACTTGGCGCAGTAGAGCGCGTCTTCAGGACTTAGCAGCGATCGCGGCAATACACACTTTTGCAGCAACTGCACCACCACCGTATCCGATTGGTTGGGTGTGCACAGGCGGTGCTTGACTGACTCGAAGCGGGCAAAAACTGCTTTGCGGTGCGCCACCTGATCTTTCATCTCATTGACGAGGGTGTCGATTACGCCCATGAGACGGTCCTTGGGTTTCTTGCGGTCGCCGTCGTTCTGTGAGAAAGGACCAAACGTGGTTACATATTGGGGATTCGTGACACTTTTGAATCAAATATATTGATGGACTTTGCAGAACACTTGAAATGGAATATATATATATTATATATATATATATCCTAAGCCCATCGAAAGGAATTTCACTTCAGAGAGATTCCAACACCAAAGATCCACATTTGCCAATCGTGTTATGGGACAGCCAAATAATATATTTTTTCCAACCATCCATGCCCCCTTTGTCCCTTGAAATGTGTCAAGCAAGAATATATATATATATATATATTGATTTATAACGTATATATAGGATGATGTTACCGGGTTGGCAGCGACGAGTTTGAGGTCGTTTTTGGCCTTTTGGATTTCGGCATTGTACTGGGCGTGGGGTACGTAGATGTCGTACAGAGTGAGGCCCCAGAAGGTCGTGAAGAGGTCCTTAGTCATGCCCACGAACGGACTGCCGTCGAACGCGCGGCCGACGTCGGCCAGGAGGTTCGGGTCGTACATGAACCAGCGACCGGGGGGGTCGTCCGGCGACAGGTTCCCACTGCCCCCCGCGTGCACACTTCGAGTCACTGCCCGTCAAATCACAACATATGAGAAGACTCGTTCAAGCAGAGCCATTCAAACAATATATATATATATATATATATATATATACAACGGTATATGGATACGATGACTACAATCTATCGAACAGTGCATTCAAAGTAGATGGATGGACTGGCTTGTTCTTGTGCTAGAAAGATGGCGATCTTGTCATCGCACATAAACATCCACACACAAGAGAGAAATCAGCACAACTCTGTCACACACACAAAGAAAAACCAAGTGCAAATAAATATTTCAATACATGCCAATATATATAATATATATATATGCATGTCTATACCTTTTCGAAGCAGCGGGTCGTGCGCGCGCATCGCCGGCCGGACCAGCACCATGGCGAGTTCATCTGGCACGTGGAAGTCGCGGACGAGCTCCGTCACCGACGGCAGCGCCGCCACGTACGTCGCCGGGTCTGCGCATGCGGAGAGGAACGCCAGGAGCTGATTGAGCGTGCGCTGGGCCGTGTCATACGAGGCCCCGACCAGCTTGAGGTGCTGAGCACTTGTGTTGAATTCGATCTGGCTGCGCATTTGGCCAATCACGAGGCACAGAGGCCACGCCAAGTTTTGCTTGACGAGGGTGTTGCGAAGACACGGGATCGCGCGCTTGTTGTTGAGCTTCGGATCGGGTGATTCAAACCCGAGGGTCGGGCCCCCCGCCAGCGCTTCCAACTGCGTCGTCGAAATGTCTTCCAGCGCCAAACACGAACCTAAGTACGCATAAGTATATAAATATATATTGTAAACTCGATTCTCGAAATTCGAATAGTGGGGTGCTCACGAATAACCAAATCCATTCGGCAGTTAACCGATGTACGACCAATCAAAACCCACAACACGAATCAAGTAGCCAATCAAAGTATCCACTCTTCGACCAAGTCAACATTGAATTAGTGTGTTACTGAAATTAGTGTGACACACGATGACTTTGACAAACAATATAAATATTCTGCAAAACCATAATATGCAAGCATTGTTGTACAAATATATCATGATAGATGCTATATATAATTGACCATCCACTGATCAATATATTAAAGCATTTAAATAATTACAAATTTCCATCCATGATGGTACTGTATGTAGATGGATGATGGCTATATATTTTTATAAAAAATCAAAAATAATAATATCATCAAAACGTTCGATGCATACATTCCACACTAATCACAGACATATATATCAATGTGTTATGGGATACCTCTTATATATATAATTGCAAACGTACCCATTTTGGTCAAGAGTTCACTGAGCACGATCAACTCGCCGCTTTCCCATGCACTGAGCCGTCGAAACAAGAACGACAGCAGCGCGCCGAGCTCCACCGTGGGGTACTTTCTATAAAAGCTGCCTGCAAACTGCGCGAGCGACGACAGCCACAGCGACACATTGTGGCCGTCGGCCTTGAACGTTTTCCGGGGTCGACTGAGTTCGGAGATGAGCACAAACGACAGCACGTCCATGCCGAGGGGGGACATGTACTTGAGGCACTCGACCACGGGCTGGATCAGGTTCTCATACGACTGGAGCTGTTGGAGCATCGTCGTGAACGCAACCAGCGGGTTGGCGTGGGCGACGTGGGTGAGAAGGCGGCCGGTGGGTTTTGTCTTGTCTGCCGTGAGTCGCCGCATGATTTTGCGTGTGAGCTGGATGGTTTCAGCTTGCTTGAGCTGGAGGAATGGCACTGTGCTGTACTGGGTCTGCCAGTGCAAGTAAAATTTGTATCGCGTGTCCACTGAGTATGCTTTAACCAGGTCCCACGTCTGGTACACTAGGTGTGGACAGCACGTGTGCACCGACAGCGCTGGTAAAAAGCACATCCGGATGAGACTTTCCACAGTATCCGGAGGCAACCGATCGAGCGGCGGGACGACGCGCGGCGAGAGCATCCGGAGCAGTTTGGTCCATAGAAACTGGTCGTGGTGGAGATGGGCGCCGATCAAGTGGAGCTTGGGCACCACTTGCGCCACGAACGCGTCGACTGTCTGGACGGACGGCACCACCCGCCGCCGTCGGGGGATGTCGGGGGAAGGATGGACGGCGCTGCTTGCAAACCGGAGCGACCGGAGCGACAGCGGCGCGTACATGTCGTCGATGAGGTCGTGCACGAACTGGCACACTTGCAGCGCCAGAGGTTTGTACTGCAGTGGGTCCACATTCTGGGCTGTGAACCACTCGATGAGCGCAAACCCAGGGCCTGTCGCACCGACTTCAAGCAGTCCCACGATGAGGCCGTACAGTTGGTTGGTCGCGTGCTTGTCTTGCGATGTGTCGGCGGCGGCGGCGGTGGCGTGTTCGTCGTCTGGTTTCTTGGCATTCAAGTTGACTTTGCCGTAGGATTTGGCATGCTGTACGACATCAAGCCGGTCTTGGGTTGCCGCCGCCACGACCGCGTCCTTGGTCGGGGATAGATGGGGGTACACCACGGCCAACGTGAGCAGGTCGTGCTGGATGAGCGTCGCCGCCAAACGGAACAATGAACGCGGCGCGGGTATGCTCTGGCGCGCGTAGAACTGGAACTTGAACCCGAGCACATGCGCGATCCCGTCGACTTTGAATTCCGTGAGCAGCTCCATGAAGCATTCGTTCGTGTAGTGGACTTCGTACGCGTCCAGGACGAGGTCGAGCACGCGATTCGGGTCGAGGTCAAAGTACCCTAAAAAGCACACGAGTGACGATGACAAAGGTCGGGAAAGGACATGTAGAAAGGACATGTTGTACCGATCAACGAGAGAAGGTTCTGCTTGCTCGCCTGGAGCGTCTCGCATGTAATGTCAGAGTGCAACAGACACAAGACCTTGGCAAATCCTTCGCTTTCTTCTTTGAGCAGGTTGAACTTGTTCTGCGTGTACAGGTTGCGCGTGTTGATGCGCACGACTTTCTTCATGATTGTGGCCGTGGGTTCCGACGAAATGCCTGCTTCGTGGAGGATCTCGAGCTCGAGCACCGATTTGAGGGTCGCGGGTGGCACCAACGCGCGCGAATGAATCTCGCCGACCAACGCACACATGTTGACCCATTCCTTACCGTTCCCCTGGTCGCGCATGCGCTCGGCCTGGTTCGATATGACCCACAACACGTCCGCGAGCGTCGCGGTCGCTGCCTCGTCATTCCCAAGCCCAGCTTCTACCAGCGCGTCCAAGACCTCTTGTTGCGGCACCACGCCACGCGCGACGCCCCACAGCAACGCATTCAGCACCACCGTCAGTTCATCACGGTCGGAGGACGATTGAGCCTGCCGGATCTTTTCCACTCTACATGATGTAGATGCATCATGAAGGGATAGAGATCCATGGGCCACCTACGCATGCTTGGCGCCTCCTCGACCGGCCCAATTCCGGACGAGCTCCATGTTCACGAGTAAAACCTGTGGTCGAATTGGGTCGAAATAATCGTAGCGGGGGAATCAAATCCGGATAATCACGCTATAGTATCCGGAGCTTCATGTTATCCGTAGTTATCCGGATTGCAACCATTTCGAAACCCGTCGGATGTCACCCATGATGGATGAACTGACTGTGAAGTCATCAGGCAGCGCTCTCTGTACGTGTAGTTTGGGGGTCACTATAACATCACGAGCAAGCATGAACATGGGAATACGATTAATGTTGTGACTGTGGTTACGTCGGACGAGCAAAACTGTATAACTGATCACGAAGCAACCCACTTCACTGCCAAGTCGACAGTGAAGTACGTTTTGAGTTGAGGTGCGTGCACAAGGTCGATCCTTCTTGGACGCTCCAAGCTACGTCCGACCACTCACAGTTGATCCAACCTGGGCGTAACAGCAGCGTCGTAGCAGCAGCGACATCGCTATACTTAGCCGCCGCACCTTCACTGCCTATGTGGGATGAAACCTCCGCCGAATATAGAAAGTTCAGCGTCTGTGATTGGCTACAAGTCTGAGTTTTCTTCTAAAAATACGCAAATCTGACAATTTCATTGGCGGATGTGGATCCTATTCTTGTCTCCGTCGTGGTGAAGCGACGCTACATCGCTCACAACTCAATTCCCTGGCCGCAGCAGTATCGACCATGACCGACGCCGCCGCCCCCCGTCCTGGAAGCGCCTCGCCGAGCAAGATCGCGCAGAAGATCGAGAACGCCCAGAACCTGGACGCCGGACTGCTGGGGTACCCTCAGTTCACTCCCGCGCACCGCTCGCTAATGTCCAAGCACTTGACGCGCGACTTGTACGAGAAGCTCAAGGGTCTCAAGACGTCGACAGGGTACACGCTCGAACGTGCGATCCAGACGGGTGTGGACAACCCCCATCTTGGGGTGGGTGTGACCGCCGGCGACGAAGAATCGTACGTTATCTTCAAGGACCTGTTCGACCCGGTGATCGAAGGCTGGCACGGGTACAAGAAGGACGCCGTGCACAAGCGGGACTTGGACCCGACGCACTTGACCGACGCCAAGCTGCCCGACGACTTTATCATCTCGACACGTATCCGCGCGGGTCGCAACATCCGCGGCCTTCCGCTGCCGCCCGCCACGTCGCGCGCGCACCGCAAGGACGTGATGAACCTGCTGGACACGGCGTTGACCGCCATGGACGGCGACCTCAAGGGCAAGTTCTACAAGCTCACAGACATGACCCCCGACGTGGAGCAGAAGCTCATCGACGACCACTTTTTGTTCCAAAAGCCCGGCGGCGGCACGTTGTTGTCGGCGGCGGGCGCCGCGCGCGACTGGCCGTCCGCCCGCGGCATCTTCCACAACGACGACAAGACGTTCCTCGTGTGGTGCAACGAAGAAGACCACATGCGCGTCATCTCAATGCAGAACGGCGGCGACATTGGGGCTGTGTTTGAGCGGTTTACGCGCGCCGTCAAGAGCGTCGAGGACAGCATCAAGGCCAAAGGGCGCGAGTTCATGTACGACGATCACTTGGGGTTTATCGGCACGTGTCCGTCCAACCTGGGCACGGGCCTTCGCGCCAGCGTCATGATCAAGTTACCCAAGCTGAGCGAAGACCTGGACCGGTTCGAATCCATTTGCAAGCTGCTCAACTTGCAGCCCCGCGGGTCCAATGGCGAGCACAGCGCGAGTATCGGCGGTGTATATGACGTATCGAATAAGCAGCGCATTGGGTTCTCCGAAGCCGAGCTGGTGCAGACCATGATCAACGGCATCCGGTTGCTCATTAAGCTTGAGCAAACGCTTGTGGCCGGCGACAGCATCGATGCGTTGATCCCGAAGGAGCGCGTCCCGAACCCGGTGATCGAAGCGCCGCCCACCACCGCCGCCCAGAAGGCTGCCATCGACGTGAAACCATCGACCGAGTCGAATTATCCGTACTTTACACCCAAACACAAGTCGCTCATGGCGAAACACTTGACGGTGGAGCTGTACGACAAGCTCAAGGACGTCAAGACGGCCAAGGGGTACACTCTGGACGATGCGATTCAAACGGGACTGGACAACCCCCATCTAGGCGTCGGCGTCGTAGCCGGCGACGAAGAGAGCTACACAGCGTTCAAAGATTTGTATGATCCTGTGATTGAAGGCTGGCACGGGTTCAAGGCAGATGCCAAGCACGTTACGGATATGGACGTGTCCAAGTTGGTTCGGTCGGATAAGCTAGACATGAGCTACATTGGGTCGACGCGGGTGCGCGCCGGACGTAATATCCGCGGACTCGCGTTCCCGCCGGGTACAACCCGCGCCGAGCGGCTGCAGGTCGAGAACTTGATTAGCACGGCGCTGACGGCGTTGACGGAAGACCTGGGCGGCAAGTACTTTCCGTTGGGTGCGATGACCAAAGCCGAGGAAGATCAGCTTCAGAAAGATCACTTTTTGTTTCAAAAGCCAGGCGGGGGGACGCTGCTGACGGGCGCCGGCGCCGCGCGCGACTGGCCGAGCGGACGCGGTATCTACCACAACACGGAAAAGTCGTTCCTGGTGTGGGTTAACGAAGAAGACCACATGCGCGTCATCTCGATGCAGGATGGAGGGGACATTGTGTCGGTGTTTGCGCGGTGGGTCAAGGGTGTACAAGCGGTGGAAGCCAGCATCAAGAAGAACGGATTCACGTTCATGCATAACGACCATCATGGGTTCCTCGGCACGTGTCCGTCCAATTTAGGCACGGGGCTGCGCGCGAGTATGTTTGTGCGACTGCTCAAGCTGGGCGAAGACGTGCACAAGCTAGAAACGATCTGCAGCTCGCTCGGGTTGCAGCCTCGCGGGTCCGCGGGTGAGCATTCCGCGGCGGTGGGCGGGATGTTTGACGTGTCCAACAAGGCGCGCATTGGAAAGAGCGAAGTCGAGCTCGTGCAGACCATGATCGACGGCGTCGGCAAACTCATCGAGCTGGAGAAGGAAATGGAGGCAGGCAAGACCATCGACCAAGTCCTAGCAGATCTCAAGCTAGCGTAAGGCCAAGACGAGGGGGCGAGGTGTTGTGTAGAGAGCGACGCCGCCGCCGTCGGTCACGATGCCGCTGGACAGAGGCTTCTGGCATATATACATGTGTACAATAGAGAGATCTCAATTTATCGAAACCATCAATTCCCACCACCTTGTGTTCATGTCACTCTCGAGTCAGTCAAGCTTACTTGCTAAAACGTGTGACGTTTTAGGTTTTATTCATGGTAGGTTATATTCGAGGTAGCCATAGCGTTTTTCAAAAACGAGAATACACAAAGACAACCAAGTTTCTAAGGTTGTGTACGACGTCAGCGATCCATGCATACGTGGAGCTGTACCCCATGCAACTTCACTAGTCAAAGCTACGACTTAACTTGGACAATTGACGCACCAGTTATTCGATGTTTCCAAGTGACGTTAAACGCAGCGTTTAACTTGCAAATGCGTTTAACCTTGGCCTCATGACGTGGCAGGCTGTAATACCGCCTGTCCAGCCAACTTCAACATCGAAATTATTTTATTTCATGATTTTATACCAACGAATGTATGGTTGGGACGAAAAAATGGTTTTCTCGACAGCGTGGGTGCTATCAGGCACATGGGTCGAATTTGATTGGTTCTCTCGACGATTATACGGAATTTCGATAGATCTCAGAAGAGTGTGGTCATTCTACAAAATTGCCATGCTCGCAGACAGCTCCCCATTGCCGTCGTCGACGTCGCCACTGCGGCGGCGCATACATGACACGAACAACCCGTCCTTCCGCAAGTCGATGGACGAGAGTCGTCGCCGCGAAGTCAACTTGGACACGCTAAAGAAGCTCGCGCAAGATGCCACGACCACGTTTTCAGACGACGAGAGCGACGGGGTCACCAGCGACGACGACGATGACATTGACGTGTTGGACACGGTTCTGGTACCCACGAGTAGCAACGGAGAGATTCCGCGTCATTGGACAGCATCCGCGCCCCCGACGCTGCTTCCGATCAAGACTCCCGTTCCTGTTCTTGTCACGACAGTCAAACCCAGCACAGTCGACGTCGACGCTAGTTGGACTCTTGTGGACAAAAGCCCTACCTTTGAGAACGTGCGGCTGGGAAAGACTAGTTTGGGGGGCGAGAACTGGAGTCTATGACGCACCGCCGTGATTATTTAGGACATCCAATCGTCGTCGAATTGAATACCGCTAAAAATAGCCAAGACATCCCATCGTGTCTTGTCATTTTACATCAGGGTACGGCAACAAGCATATAGAATGGGGGATGCGGATGCCCTGAACCTGCCCCTTCAAAAGACGGTCTTCATCATCCAGAGGGAAGCACTCGCCCAGGACGAAGCCATTCGCCTTCGCGTGACGCAAGCAGGGTTCCGCATCGTCGACCAGACCCTCGTCCATCTCACGCCAGACCGCGCGACAACGTACTACCTCGACAAGCTTCTCAAGCCAGAAGACGGCGCGAAGAAAGCAAGCAATCATACTAAGTCATAGATGCAGATCTGATATGTAGTATCCGTGTATAGACGGGTGGACGGACGGCTCGCGGCACGGGCACCGGTCGAGCTGTCGCGTCCACCACTGCGAGGAAGGAAGCCGCACCGCCGTCCACGCCAACGTCTCCTCGAGACAAGACGCCACGCTCCGTGTCCTCGGACGACCCATCGCCGCGCGTAGGTACGGCGTCAACGTCCCCGGGGAAGACGCCGCGGGACAACGTGGCCGAGACCGCCGACGATGCGATCGCGGCGTTGAGCGGCGGCCCGATCGTGGTGCTGTTGGTGGAGAAGCAGAACGCCGTCAAGGCGATGCTGGACCTCGTAGGGCCGCAGAATCCGACGCAGTGGCCGTCCACTCCGACCTGTCTTCGCGCGTCGTTCGCCCAAGACGGCAAGCACGTCGGCGTGCGGTGCAGTCGGTTCGCGTACAACGTGGCCGACGAAACGGCCTTCTTGTTTGGTATGGCTATGGCGTGGCAGCTCCCAGGCGGTGTCTTTCTGGATCGTGATGGGGGGTTTTGGTAGCGCACTCGGGGAACAACGGAGGGAAATTGGCCACGGACGGCGACCACGCCGCGGACGACGCTGGGAAAGCCATGGTCCATCTCTCGACAGTGTGACGTTATCAAGCTAACGTCATCATTCCGACCATTAGGTACATTTGGACGCGCTCATGGACTTTTTGTTTCCGCCAAATGTCCAGCATCCCAACTCGACCGGCCGGTTGTTTGTGTTTTCGCTGTACGGGCCGTTGGACGCCAAGTCGCGGCTCCGCAGTGGCGAAAAGGGGATGCATGGTATGTCACACCGTTCAAATGTCGTCTCGTGGAATGTGCGATACAGTACGTAATGTTGTGGCGTAGTCGTCACGGACATTGAGCTCAACACGATGTGTGTGTCGATTGAACGCGAAGACATTTTGTCAGTGTACGGCATGATTGGGCTGTCAAGAGACGAGGTATGGGATATATATATATGGGAAGATAGATACTGTATATTCCCAGTCAAGTTTGAACGGTCGACTTGGATATATAAATATTATACATCATGATTGTCAGGAGGAAGAAGTGCTTCGGCAGGCCGACAAGCATATGAAGCACTTGCCGCGGTACACGCGTGCCGACATTCAAGAGATGTTTCGACATGTGCCGCATACCAAGAACGATGGGTTCATGTCATTCCATGCTATGCAGCGGTACCGAGATATAACCTTGCTTCATCGTCGTTGCTAGCTAGCTAAGCGCGAATATGGCCGCTTCAGAGGTCATGCGCGGAATGGTTGATGTGATCTGATGCAGGAGAATCATGGAGGAGCGCATTCGCCGTGTGTTATGCATGAAAGACAACCTCAACACGACGTTGGCGACGCCGATCGTGTCCAAGTACCGCAAGAGTTTGTCGACGTACGATGGACATTTGAAACGTGTGAACTTTGATCGAACGCGGAATGAATGTATGTTTTTCGTGCTGTAGCACTGCAACTGTCACCAAGTACCAAGTGGCGCCGCCGAGCATGTTTGTCAAGGACATGGGGCTAAACGGGTCCGAGAACGCCGTCGTAGTCGCCAGGTTGCTCAACTGTCACGCGTTCCAAATCTGCCACTTGGCCGATGGCAACTCGCCTGAACTGACGCAAAACGTGCGGCTGCTGCGGGAGGACATTGCGTCGCCGCTGCCCCGCCTGCCCTGGAACAACAACCACGCCAGTGTCAAGCACACTTAAATACATGTATTCAGCCCATGTCACTGTGTATAGCTTACACCTGCCGTGTGCATGACGAATCATAACGTTATGCTAACGTTATGTGGGGGGGGTGGATCTCGTAGTTCAGTCACGCATACTGTACTAGTACATTCCAGTGAGAGATAAAATTGACGAGTCCAACAGACTACGCAAATGTCGTCCATACTCACATTATGGTCTATAATGATCACATACTGGGCCCAATTGTTACTACACCACACCATTTTTCGCTTAAGTTTAAGTTATTTCCGGTATAATTCGCCCGACGCTCATTTACAAGTTCACAACTACGATACAAGTGACTCCAAGAAGAGCTCTAGGCAGGAAACGTTGGAGAGTGTTCCATCGTCGTTCAAGCGTATGGGACCATTATAATGACATGGACAAGCCCTTATGTCTTAATGCAACTCCTCTGGAGTAGTACATACTAAAGTTGTAGCCGAAGTTTACAGTGCACTTAGTCGTGGGACGTGGAAGGTTTGGGGGGGTGTTTGGCCCAGTACGCGACCAGCGGGGCGGCGCTGCGCAACTTGGTGACTAGGGCCAGCAACTTTGGAAAGTCGGCGGGGGATGACGTCAAGAGTGCCGCCGATGGGTTCCAGATCTGCTGGTAAAAGTCCAGCCAGTAAATATCGGCATACGACATCGTGTCGCCGAGAAAGTACGGGCCAACATGGCGCGCCTCGAGGCCCGCGAGGATTCGCGGAAACATGTTGTCGTTGATGTTGAGGATTTCCTTCTTGAGATACTCGTCGCCCTTGGTGGAATGCACGGCATCAACAAACGCGTTGGTCATTTCCACGATCGCGTCGACGACCGAGTCGGCTTCGAGTGCGAGGAGGTTGTCCGTGGGGTACAGCCCCACTTCCTTGGCCACGTAGCGGGCGATCGCGATGCTCTGGGCGTACGTCTTGCCTTGGGTGCGTAGGATGGGAACTTGACCAAACGGAAGCCCCAGCGTCGGCTTGGCGGCGGTGTATGCCGGGAACGACAGCCGAGTGTCTTGAACCGCCTTGTTGCCGTACGCGAAAAGCAGGCGGATGGACTCGGCGCGCCACGTTTCGTCAAAGTAGACCAATTCCAAGCTCATGGTCGACGTCTAGCCTTGCGTCGTCGGGAGGAAATTCAAAAGTGACGTGACCACCTCAATACATCTATTGGCCAAAGGTAAGCGCCATTTCAAGATCGGATATTTGCCGCCACTACAAAACCTATAAATAGTGTGATCCTGTGGCACTCTCTACATTTGATTGTACTATTAATTGTAGGTATTAATAGTACGACTATTGTCGATTTGATGGGTGGGGGCGTCATCGTCAGGTTTGTGAACGAGTCTGATTGGCTCAATTTTCGAAAGCACAGTGTGATTGGCTAAAGACTTTATACTATCGAACTATCGAACGTCCATTTTGCGCGCCATTGTTCAACCAGCATTCGACGATTCATGACCGCAGACGACAGTGCACGCGATCGTCGCAGATGTCCCGACCGACACACTCGCAAGGCGACCACGGACACTTTGCGCTAGTACCTGGTTGCATCGTACTTGATAATCCAGTTCGAAATGGTTTGCTCGCACTTTCCGTACACAGCAGCAAGCTGTCGACGCTTCATCCCCAGGAAGAAGTAGATGTACAGACAGTGAATGATTGTGTTCGGACTTGCATGCTATGAGAGTGCTGACTCGATGGTGCTCATCGTCGTCTTGCCGCTTGGTGTGCGATCTGCTTAACATGTAAATGTCTTTTCTGTCGTTTGACCCAATCAAATCGTGGCAATTTTGAAAGCGCCAATCGAATCGATCTACGAACAACGATCTACGAACAACGAGTAGTTTTTTAGGAATTCACGCCAAAATCCAAAATTTCGCTCGAAAGCACAATACGACGTATTAATACTATTAACCTTACTATTAATAGTGGTATGGTGCAAGTCATCCACTGTAGTACGTAGTAAAGACGACTACCGGTAAGCTTAGTGTATCCTCAGGAGGAGACGTTTTACTATTAAAACGCCTCAGTTCTTTCAGTTAAACCCATGAAATGTTGACGTTATACGTTGTTTACCTGGTACTAGGGGTTAAATGTAAACGTCCTGAATAATCCGGATACAATGGGAAACCTTCGTACGGATAAGTGGTAAATACAAAGACCAAGATATACTAATGTGCCTGGCTCCATATATTTCCATACAGTTGGTTTAAATTCTATTACTGGTACTCGATCAATTTTTCACCAATCGAAAATCTGAACCGTAACTTCTGTTGGGCTTGTCCAGTTCTATCGTTATTACGGTATATTTTCCTAAAAATATCAATACAAAGTTGGAAAAGCTGTCGAAAGACAAGGCATTTTTTTGTACTATCTCTCTGTGCTTGCCTCAATGCCATTTTCAAGGGTTTTGTGAATGTAGCTCCATCCAGATACTAGTAGGGCTTTGTGTACCACGTAGTAACTAACTGGTACACTTTTAAATAGGAATTTTCGAAAGGCATCCAACGAGGTGAGAATGCAGCACTAATTCACAATACCCTAAAGGATATCCGGGAGATAAAGTGGTAATGATAGTCAATTTTCACTGCATAACACGTAAAGTTTTTATAATCTAGTATTTGAACATTGTGATGAATATCGGATATTACAGGTTTACGGAGTATTTGTGCTAAAGTGATTCCCCCCAAACCTGTATAAACCCACGGCAAAATGGCATTGAGGCAAGCAATTCCGGACAGAGGTATTGTCAAATCGATTCGAAACTGGAGTCCTCAGTAGAATCCAATGTCTTAGGAGAATCGATTAAAAAACCGCCTTAGCCAATCAAATCACGATATGTCAATTTTCTGCCAATGGCAAAACCACATACTCGAGTATATATTAATCGTTGTATAATATAGTGTGTACAATATTAAATAGGATCAAATGGATTCGAATGCTATTAATAGCGTGGATTCGGTACGAATTTCCAGACCCCGTCGAATCGAAGCTCGACGCCGAATGGAATCACGAATCGACGCTATTGGCTCATCCAATTTTGAGTGGATTTGATTGGCTGGACAAGTATATTCAACCAATTAGTTCAGTTAGTCTTTACTGTTAGATGACTTGCACCATATCATTCTGATTCACGCGCGAATCAATTCCACTCACTGGACGTACAGTGTACTAATATGGCAAACGTCATTACACTGTCCTGTTAGCGTTATTACTTGTAATTGCTTCGTATTACTTCGAAGTATTAATACAACGTAGTATTCAAAGCTATTAATAGTGCTAAGACGATTTTGGTTTCCAATCCGTCGATGTCGTATGTGATCGACATGCAGTACCTATCTACATGACACTTGATATGGCTTCAACAACTTGACTGTACAGTTTGGTGGCAGCGACGCTAAGGCCGAGCAGGAGGCCCGCCTCGATATGACCCGGGAAGACCGATACGTTCCCCTTCACATTCAGACCGACCAAGAGAGGGAAGCGGCGGCCGTGGCGGTTGAGGCCACGCGCGTCGCGGCACTACGAATCCAAGTCCATGAACGTCGAGTGCAAGACGTGGAAGAGTGGCGCATGCGTGAACAAGACGCACTCGCGCGCCAAGTTCGCCGCCACCTGTGGGACCTGGACGAAGCCGCGTTTCGTGTAGCGCGGCAGCGAGAAGCCGACGAATCCCATCATATGCACGCCGAAGACGTGTACGGACACAGGACGTGGCCACTCGTGGATACCGCGCAAGAAGAGGCTGATTTCCGCGCCAAGTTGGCGGCGAAGAAGGCGGAGCGGGCGGCAGTGAGGCGCGCGCGGCGGCAGGCCCAACATCCTGCCCTGTATGCAAAAGAGTGGGAAGTGGTCACGTTAGACGATGGCGGGTCGTACTTTCGAAATATCGTGACGGGGGACGTCCAGTGGACAGATCCATGTGCGCCAACCACCACTACCACGGCGGCGGCATGGGAGCCCGCGGCGGACGATGTCGGACGAACTTACTATGTGAATACCGCGACGGGCGAGACGGCGTGGACGGCTCCGGAAGGCGCCGCGATGGAAGGCAAAGTACAGGTAGACCAATGGGATGAATTCAAGACAGATGATGGAGTCGCGTACTATGTCCACCGCACCACGGGTGACAGTGTATGGGAAAAGCCCGTAGCGTCGTAGTTTGTGCAGTTAAGATGGTATGAATATACTATTTAGTACAAAGTAGACTTGTATTAGTCGATTCGTGCCGAAGTGTTAACGTTGTTTACACCAAGTCGTTGGTGGGAGTGCTACTTCCATCAGGGGACAGCGACCACACAAGCAGGCTCAGGAGAAACAGAAGCAGTTGGTTCCGCGGGTCTTCCTTCAACCACTGCATGAGCGACCCTACTTCGCATCGTTCATCCGTCCCGGTCGTTGTCACAATAGAGGCATCCGGCCACGGCGTCGTCGTCCCCTTGTCTTCCTCTCCGTCCTCTTCATCCTCTTCGTCCTCTTCTTCTTCATCTTCGTCGTCGGGCACCGTCAGAGGCTCGAGTTTCGTGTGCGCATTCGCATCAGTCGTTGTCGATGCGATTGGTGTTACTTTGAGAGGCAATTGGATGGCGGCACTCAACGCGTCCAACCATTCCGTGCCTTCCGCCACAGATTCCGCTCTCAGCACGACCACGTCGCCCGACACTTGCGTGATCCCGAGCACCATGTGCGGTAGTTTGCGCAGCTCCACGAGCATGTCTTCGTGAGTAGATAGGTCCTGCACATGACAGCATCGGGGGAGCATCACCACCTCCTTGGGTCTCCGTCCTGTTGTGGGTCTGTGCTTGTGCGAAAACAGGCTTAGCACGACCCCGTCCAGTCGACACCACCGCCGCGACCACTTCTTCAGCACGACCTTTCGGCGCTGCTTGTTGTAGAGCCACAAGTACCCAACCTTGAAAGTGCGACTTGTAGGGGCGGTGGCCAGCGGGTGGTACGTGGGAACTTGTGCTAGATCCAGCAGGAGCGGCAGCCGCTGCATCAACTGCGCGCGCGCATCGGACGCCGCGTGGTAGCCATAGAAGACGCTTTGAATCGCCGAGCCCACTTGGCCGTGGCTCGGTTGATGTGGTGGCGACAGTGTCGTTTGTCCCGATGATGTCGACTCGAACAACATGTGACAGGTGCCGTCCGGATGGATGGCCAGCAGCACCGCCTCGTCTGGGTGTACTACCGTCAACATGCTCGAATTTGAACCCCACACGTCCGTCACGGCTTGGGCTTCGTGGTCGCAATGCGCATTTCGGAGCAACGACGCCAGCAACGCAGCAATCCCCGACAACGAACAAGTGGACATGACGACCAAGCGAAGGACCTTGACGAACGCGCCGGTGGTAAACGCCATGGAAAAGTCGGGATCCGTCGAGAGGCTGCCGAACGACAGCCCCTTGAACCGCACGAGGTGGGAGGACGCACCCGCGGCGTCCACGTACAGCCCCACGGTCCACCGAGCTTCCCCTTCGTCCGCCGAGCCGCAGGTACCAAGCAAGACGATGGACGTGCCTCCGGATATAGAGGAGGCGGCCAGAGAGCCGGGGAACACGACGGTCGAGGTTAGGTCGATCAGAGGTCCAAACGTGGACGAGAAAGGGACCATGTCGTCGTTGTTGTTGGCCGCTTTAAAGAAACACCGTTTTGGTTATCGATACGAATCACGAATCGACGCTATTGGCTAATCCATCTTTGACTGGATTTAATTGGCTTTTGCAGAAAGGACAAGTATATTCAACCAATCAGAACTCCGGGGTGATTCAATATTTTATAGCGAATTCACAATATCGGTTCCACTTTTTCGAAATCCGCAACATTTCGGCTCAAATTATATAGTCCAAAACAGGGGTTAAACTGACGAATTAGGCCGTATTTTACGGAAATCTGCAGGAGGAGTGGGGTGCCCAATCGAATGAGCAGCACCAAATCGGCAGAGAATCGATCGACGAATCAAAACCCAGTACACTAGTCAAGTGGCCAATCAAATCCACTCATCGACCATTTCATCATGGAATTCGTGTGTGACCTTAATTAGTGTGAGACTGGGCGACCTTTACATACAAAAGTCAGGACAAAGAATCAATCGATAGATTTGGCAAATCAGCACAAAAGTCCAAATTTTGGGTAAACGCACAATATTAGAACGAACTCGATAGAGCTGATGCCTATATTCGCAATGTTACACGATCGAATTACTTCAGCTGATTGTTGACAGAAATCTTAATCGTCGCATCTTCGATGGTGATTTGGTCGCCAACCTTGCTCCATGGAAGCGCACTTTTCTTCGAAACAAGAAACCTTTTCATTTTTTTATCATGGCGTGAATAGAATTGTAAAAAACAACACATCAAAACGATGTTATGTCATGTTTGTTATATTTGGAAGCAAAGATAACTAACAAAGTTGATCAACTTGGATGTGTTATATTTGAGACAGCCACAACATAACCAATGTAAATCGACCAGCCCGAGACTCAATTTGCGTCTTCACAAGCATTATCTCTACATAATGACGTATCATAGAGGTCGCTACGAGCTATATTCATCGAGACATTTACTTACAAAGTATGTTATATTTGCGACTTTTGCTACTTTGAGGACACATCGCTCATGCTATAATGTTGCAATCGCCATACCTACAACTAAGTTTGCAATATCTACATTCATTACACTGCTCGTAGACAAGCCGTCAGTGAGATATTCGATGTCAAAGTCATGTACTGTCAAAGTTACTACTCTGGTCCACAATAGCTGTCCTATTGTTTTGACCTGATTAAAGTATATTTACCTGGCTCGAAACGTCTTGAAGTTTGTATTGGTCTCCGAAATGCAATATTGGTCGACGATATTTTTATTGTATTTTTATTCTAATGTCGACCCTACTTGTTCTTGAGAATTGACCAGGTCTTCCAAATGAGTTTCCTCTCCAAGGCGACTTTCCAAATGGAGAAGTGCACCTTCGACAGCAGACGAATGGCATTCGACATTGTACAATGCCAAGTCTGAAATGGTCGCATCCTTTCTCATATGAGGAAGTTTATAGTTGTTGCTTCCGAGCATTTCAATTGACTTTTGCATCACTTTCTGCAACGTTATGAAGGTTTTAGAACGTGTGTCCATCGGCAACTCATAAAACACGGCTTCCACAGCATCAATGAGATCTTCGATAGAACGAGTACACTTTTGATGCTGCAGACTTTGAATAGAGTTAAAAAAACCTAAGTTCGAGACATTGAAGTCAGGACTGTTGGGAGGTTGGTTTTCTACTCTAATTTTTTCTACTCCATTTTGGTCTAACAGCTCGGTTGTCACACAGCGGTGAGGGCTCGCGTTGTCTTGTTGTATGACGACACCACGGGACAGGGCACGAGGTGGGAATCGTTCCAAAATGGCTGGGACAACCTTGTCGATGATGGCCTTCTTGTACACTTCGCCATCCATAACTTGTGGGACGACGACGGGGGTCCCTTTCGCGCGATTTTTGCCGTTTCGCTTGGCGGGCTGGACAACGACGAAAGGCCACACGCAAACCTTGCCGTCGAAATACGCCTTCTTTGTGTGGTCGAATCGAGGCCGGGCCACCGCGGCCAAGAACATCACTTTGGTGATGAGTTGCTTGGACTTCGCCGTACGCAAGGCCACTTCTTCATCGTCGTAGATATAGAACTTTCGCTTGACTTTTGTCAAGTAGAACCACTTCTCATCTACATGAACGAGTATGTTCATGTCGACGAAAGCATAGTTTCCACTTGGCAAAGGTTGAACAAAAGACTTGGCAAAGTCGAGACGCGCCCTTGTGTAGTCTTCAGTGAGCATGGGCTTGATGTAGCTGGCTCGGGACTTCAGCCTCTTGGTCTCTTGCATGTGACGGACGATGGACGTCTTCGAAAGTCCACTGTGTGCCGCAAGAGAACGGAGGGTTTGACGCTGATGCTGTGGCACACTCTGGATTGCGACGTGACTTTTTAAAGTCGTTTTCATGTTATTCTCAATATTGTGTAATTTAATGATTTGAGTGTGAAATATAATGTATTGGATGATTTACCCTTGAGTTTCGAGGCGACATCGGCATGCGGTGACCCGTTGGAGAGCGAATGTCGTCCACGCTTCCACACTCGCGATACATTCTTCCAGTGGCACTTCAAGTGCGCAGCAACGTCCTTTAATGCGCCGTACTTATGGCGGCCATTCAACGAGCTCTGTAGGAGCAGCGTCTGCGTCGCTCAGCTGGCGTGAGGTGGCGAGTGCCACTTTGAGACGCCATTCGAATCGTTCTGAGGCGCAACCGTGTTTTTGGTGCTCCTTAGTGGTTCTGTGTAGGGTGCGCGAAGTCTGAACGCGTCAACTTTAAGAATGAGTCCTATCCGGGTTGATTTGTGTGTCAGATGTGTTCCCGCTCACTTTGCTTGCCCACAACTTTTGAGCAAATGCGATTCAGAACATGCAGAAAGTAACCAATGAAAATAGAGATCTTGCACTTCCATTGCACCAATCATTACACCATTTGGACAAATACTAGAAAAAATCCGCCGATCCAAAAACAATGGGACAACTATTCCGGACCAGAGTAGTAGCTAGCAGGCCGGGAAGCACAAGTTATGGCGTGTGTGGCAAATTCGACCATTTCCACAGTTTGGGTACTGCGAAACACTTTTCCGTGGGACATTGGCAACTGAACAGTTCGCGTCGGCATCTACCGCACCCCAAGTACATAACTTTGAAGAAGACTCCGAAGTTGACGACGGATCAGCAGCGCAACACGATGTGGATGACTTGAGCAGCAACGATGAAGAGCCGTCAAACCAAGGTAACGGTGGAAGATGCCGCCAAAGTGCAACGCCTGTCGAACGCCAGAAGAAACGACAACGATCTTCTCTAGCTTCCAACATGTCAAATAACTTCCGTTCTGTGACTGACGCAGCTGTGAAGGAGCTAGAGCTGCTTATGGAGGTACTTCGTCTAACTGCAGTGGGAACCGGTCAATCGCCAACTGAGAAGGCCGTCAAGACATTGCAGCAGGAGTTTGGTGATATCCTCGACATTGAAGATATGCTTTTGGCCATCGATATCATGGAAAATCCTACGCGTGCAGCTATGTTTCTCTGGGTAGAAAGCGAAATTCGACCTGCATGGTTGCTTCGACAAGTGCATCAAATGAAGACGGCGTCGAATATATAGTTAACCACGAAATGAGTTCCGTCTTTGTTCGCGTGGACTAGCGAGAGTGCGTTGGTATTGCAGCCACATTTGAGACGCGAGTTGGGCTCTCCACGCCTTCGATTCTTCGTTTTCGGGTTCGTTTGCGAACTGAGGACGGTCATGTTGGTTCATGGGCATTTCACGCTGCTGTCGCAGCCTTGCGGCTTGAGCTTCGAAGACCTCACACTCGATGCCGCATGTACGAATAAAGTTGTGTATTGTGCACAAGGGCAAGAACAAGGTCCACTTGGAAGCTGTAGTCGTACCGGACGCCATGGGACAGAACGGGAAATCTCATCTTCACGATGCCGAAAATGCGTTGAATGCAGTTACACAATTGAGCTTGACGCAAGTTGAACAGCTCTTCTTTTCGTTGGGGATTGAGACGTCCAATGCCGTACTCCTTCAAATGGTAACGAGTACCTCGGTATGGCGTGAGGCACTTCAAGGTCAGCCCAAATCCAGTGTCGGTGATTTCGAACTTGTCGCCATCCATGGCCAATCCCTTGTCAAACGCATCGGCGTATACTTTACCATCACACGCGGTTCCTTCCCAGCCCGCCAGGACATACGTGAACTGCAGGTCAAAGTTGCAGCCTGCAAGAACATTCATAGTGATTCTCTTCCTGCCTTGAAACGCTGCTGCTTGGCTTCTCGTTACCCACACCGGGATATGGGTCCCGTCGATGACCATTCGACATTTTGAAAAGAACGGAAAGAACTTGCTGTTGGTCTCAATATACGGAGACGTTGGCGCATCTGGAGTTGGGAGCACAATGTACACCGGCGCCAAATGGACAACAGCCTTCAGAACACGGGGTGTTCAAGGGAACAATGACCGGCATGGCATGTCTAACTACTGTAGTATTTATTAATACGTAGTACAGCATACTACGAAGTATTATACATCGGTTACTTGGCCTCGCGATTGATGAAACAGTACCGGTATATTCAAACCAAGTATGATTGAACTTTGTATAGTCATGTATTGTGAGCTTTAGTATACAATGGATGCCCACCAAAAATCTCGCAAATCATAATTTCTCCCGGTTCTCGCTGAGACATTTTTCAAATAAAAGTACGCTCGCATCCATTTGATTTGTGAGACCTCCCCTCGCATCCGCACCGTGAAGAGTAATCATGAAACCAACAAAAATTAAGAGGTTTATCATGAAGCCCTGGAGAACCATTCTTATTCAAATGGTTAAAACCAAGGCGGGCTGTGGTAAGTCGTGGTGTCCCGCTTCAGTGGACCTGCTGCTTGACATCACTGCCGCGGTCTTACCCTTGGGCAAGAACCAATGGGAAAAGGTTGCCCAACGTTTCGCCACCGAGGCGACTGTCCAGTCTCTGCCGCATCGGGATGCAGAAGCGCTGAAGAGAAAGTTCCTTCTCCTCAAGAATGTTCAGAAACCAACCGGCCATCCCGACTGCCCCCCCCCCCGACGTCCTGCGTGCAAAACGTCTGCAAAGAGAAATCGAGAGCTCTGTGGCGGTCCTGTCGATGGATGCAACCATTTCGACGGATTATGAACCTGACGACAGCGACGATTGTAGCGGTACATGACAACCTCTTCAATCTCTGTACTAATTAGCTCCTAGATGACACCTTTCAGTCGACCACGTTGCCGTCACAACTACCAACTCAACTGGATGATCAACGTGTTGAGGTCGGCCCAACGGGTTTGCAACCCTCCGAGCTTCAAGCGCTGAGCGACAAGCTCAAACGTAAACAATCCGATACCGGTGGCTTACTGTCGTACACGGCAAAAAAAGACGCTCAATTGACAAGTACATTGAAGGAGCGTCGGAGTCAGATGCCCCGAAACCCCGCGAAGGCGTCGTCCGACATGATGAAATTCCTTATGGTTATGAGCGAGCGGGATGCCAAGCGTGAAGAGATGAGGCACGAGCGACAGGAAAAGACCGACAGGGTGCGTGAAGAGCGGGTGGAAAAGGCCGACAGGGATCGAGAATCCCGCGAAGCTCGCCGCGACGAATTGCTATTTCTCCTTCTTGGCAAAATTTTTGGGAAAAATGATTCGAGTTAAACATGTAATTCAGTTAAGTGTGTAATTCAAGGACAGTATATTTTCAAGAGTGATGAATTACATATATTTAGATGCTGCATCGTCAGAATAATCACAATTGGATCAAATTATCTCTACAAATGACATGACATCTGTAGCTAATGCACATTATCTAGTCAGATTATTTGGATTTTATAGGACGGCCGCGGAATTTTGTGATATATGTCAAAACCAGGATGAAATCTCATTGTTACGTTCGAAGGTTGATGACCATAGTATAAAAAAACAAAGTGTAGTGTGGCACAATCTTAGCATAATAAATGCATATTTTCTTAATGTTGACTATTTCGACCTATGGACCAAATACATTCTTGATTTGACTGATATGAGTCCCGCTCGGCGAACTCTGAAGTTGTAGAGCTGAAACATGTTGGAGAGACGATGCCCTCGCACTAAGGGGTTGTACGGTAGGGGTAGGAACAACTGGCGGTAGACCTTTTCAGTCGCGCCCATTCCCCACTCTGCAGCCTGCCTGCGATGTAATGCAGTCACTCATTGTCTGCAGAGCCAACAGATCGCGTGGAGGGTTGCGATCAAGGTCACCTTCTTTCAGTGGGGTAATAATTCGACCTCGGAGCAACAAAACGCTCGTCACACGTTCTTGGAGCTGACGGCTGACCTCGCCATCGTTCCATGAGCCTGGGTAGTTGTGTCGAGCCCAAATGAAAGTACCATGGACACCGAAACACAGACATCCCGTCACATAAACACAATGCAGCCACCCTATCAATGCAATTAACACACTCAGTCGCGGGGAGAATACCGTTGTGACGGGCATTTTGCAGGTCTGTGTTGGAAGGACTTTGCACACGATAGTTTTTGCCGTTCACAAAGGCAAACACACCTTCCACGAGGGGTTCCTTTGCGTTCGTCAAGACAGCCCAGTCCCGTTGCAAGGCCTTTGATGGCTGCGTGAGACGCATTAGCAACAGCCACTTTTGACGACGACGACGACGCATGCGACAGAGCAGAAGGGCGGCAGCGATACTTGTCATCCTCCGTACTTTCTGCAAGTGATATGATTGGATCAAAATTCTCTCCTTATCCAGTCATATCGATGTACCGTTTTGATTTTGTGAGAATATTGGTGCGTCTGCTGTTTCATATCGGAACTATTCGCACCCGTATGTAACACAATACCGGTATGCGTTATCCGGACTCACAAATTTGAATGCAGAGCACTTGCGAGATTTTTGGTAGGCGTCCAATCGCAATACGTATAATTTCTGTAGTGATTATTATACGTAAGCTTATAATGTGATGGCGCACCGTAGTTACGACGCAAGTATCAGCAGTGGTGTGCTTCGCTTTGTTGCGCAACAGCCCCGATACAGTCGCAACCTTGAGCATTGCAACATTGAGCATGTTTTCGTCTCGCTTGCGCTTCATCCCAGCGAGTCGAGGACCAAGAACAGCGCGTACTACCCGATACGCTTCGACCTGCATGTCTTCGGTAGCATTGCGTCCAACACACATTTTGGTCTATAATGATAACGTACTGTGCCCAATTGTCGCTAGTATTGGTTTATAGTCATGTCGTCATTTACAAGTCCACTACTAACGTGACCGATCAGTGATCCGTGATCCGCCAAAAAAAATTATCCAATAACATGGTTTCTCGAATTGTATTGGACAAGACAAAACCTCTTACAATATTGACCTCGTGAGAAATTATTGAGGCAAAACTTATAAACTTTAAGAGGTTTTCGATTTGAATTGACAACGAAATGCCGCCATGAACATCGTACACGAAGGACACGTTGCGTGTGGCCGTGCATGCAGTGTTAGCTCAAGAACACACTATTGCCTCAGCGTCTCGTGCTCACGACATTCCCTTGCGCACACTCCGTGAACACGTGACCAATGCACGTAAGGGCAACTCACAACTGCTGTCGATGGGACCACCACCAGTCTTGCCATGGCCGTTCGAACTCGACTTGGTGGCCTGGATACTTGCCATGGAGTGTGATGGGCATCCAGTTGGATGTCGAGAAATAACTGATAAGGCCACCGAAATGGTCGCCGTGGTCCAAGACATGCAATCCCCAAAACTGACGACCGGATGGTACAGTATACAAGATTCCTCAAGCGACACCCTCAAATTAAGATCGCAAAGGCTCAAGTGCTCAGTAAGACCCGAAACGGTGTCGATAAAGATACGGTCGTCGCATTCTTTCACGAGCTCGTACACTCCATGTCAATGGTGGACATGGACCCAAGCCGAATTTTCAACATGGACGAAACAAGCTTCTCGCCCTCGAAGAAAAGAAGGTTGTGGTCCACCAATGCTGTTTATACGGGGAGGAGTCATCTGCCGCTTCTAACGTCACGATTGTCGCATGTGTGGCTGCTGATGGGGCCAAGATACCGCCGCTCTTTGTGCTGCCTGGAGACCGTGTATCTACCGATACATGTGACAGCCTTGCGATCCCTGGCGCTGCCGTTACAACTTCTGAGAAGGGGTGGACGAATTCGTACATTTGTCGCAAGTGGCTCTCGATGCTCAACGACAACATTCCCTCCACCGTGCAGCGTCCAGTGCTGCTTATTTTGGACAGCTGCTCGTCGCACTACTCCGAGTACGTATATGACGAAGCCAAAGCCTTGGACCTTCTCCTTCAGGTTTTGCCCACAAAACTCGACCCACCTAATCCAGCCACTGGATGTAACGGTATTTCGGCCGTTCAAGCAAGCAATTCGACAGGCGGTTTCTGATTCATCTGGACTGACGTTATAATCATCAGCAAGCAGCGAGCTGTGTCGATCGCGTGTAACGTGTGGACCAACTCCACGAGCCAATCAGCGATCAAGAATGGCTTCGTTTGCACGGGACTCTGCCCACTGTCCCTTGACAAGATGATGTTTCGCCTGACACTTTTAAAAACCATCTGACGTTCCTGAGATTGGTGTCAACGAAACGTGCATCAAACGTCAAGCCATTGTCCGCGATGAGATTCTCCTGCTGCTACCCCCCAAGAAGCCGAAAAACACAAAGCGGAAGACATTGACTGTGAGTGGGAAGTTTATTTCGTCCGGGTACCACGACTTGTTGCTAGCCCAGGCAGAGTTGAAGCCAAATCGGAAGATGTCATCAGCGCAATATGAGATGTCACACGAAGTATCTACACCACTACCCCAAGTAGCCGTTTCGACTGCTGCAGTACCCCCCATTGTGATCAACATTGTGCAAGAGTGTCTTGTTTAGATATAAAATCAATTACGTTTTTCAATTGTCTATACGGCTGTTTATTACATTTCTCAATTGTCATATTTTGAAGTTGCAAATAACGCTAACTTAGAACTAATTATTTCGTGTAAAATGCGAAGACGATAGTAGAAGGGTTATTTTTCTAATAGTACTCACTCAAAGGCATCGTGCCCACCTCGAAGAATGATCTTCACTGGCTAACCATTGTCCTGCCCCAAGACTGCGCCATGTCTGACGGTATGTGGGTACTAGGCGAACGCAGGCGCGACTTGGTGGTGACGAACTTTACGCCGCTGGCACCCGCACTGGGCACCAGGAGGAAAATTGAGCAATGAGAGATTAGAATCCCCATATACACTTGGTTTGAACTTTGCTATGTCAACGCAATGATTGTCCAACGCATTCAATGTAGGATGACAATATCAAGTGTATATTGTCCATCATTATGTCGAATACTTTGAATGACACGTCGTTGTCATGTGTGAATTGCATTGTCATGCACGAATTGTCCAACACTCCAACCTGTCAATACTTCAAAACTTCATACATTTCTAAAACTAATATACCTTTATCATATTATATTTTCAGCTAATGATTTTGGATTTTGTTAAACTGAATTCAATACTCACTTCAAGTATATATTTTGGCGGATCACTGATCGACTGTGTAAATTGCTCAACTTTCTAAATTAATTGGAGAAACATGAACTGTCAGATCCGATCGGTTTTGAATCCTTGTGAAAGCACGTGAAACTGGAGTCCTCAGTAGAATCGAATGTCTTAGGAGAATCGATTAAAAAATCGCCTGAGCCAATCAAATCACGATATGTCAATTTTCTGCCAATGGCAAAACCACATATATATTAATCGTTGTATAATATAGTGTGTACAATATTAAATAGGATCAAATGGATTCGAATGCTACATGTATCGTGGATTCGGTACGAATTTCCAGACCCCGTCGAATCGAAGCTCGACGCCGAATGGAATCACGAATCCACGCTATTGGCTCATCCAATTTTGAGTGGATTTGATTGGCTGGACAAGTATATTCAACCAATCAGAACTCCGGCGTGATTCAATATTGATTCGACGAACCAGATTTTAGAAGTTTATAGCGAATTCACAATATTTGGTCAAATGACACTCAAGTCCAAATTTGGGTGAAATGCACAATAGTACAGTTAGTCTTTACTGTTAGATGACTAGCACCATATCATTCTGATTCACGCGCGAATCAGTTCCACTCACTGGACGTACAGTGTACTAATATGGCAAACGTCATTACACTGTCCTGTTAGTGTTATTACTTGTAATTGCTTCGTATTACTTCGAAGTATTAATACAACGTAGTATTCAAAGCTATTAATAGTGCTAAGACGAGATATTTTGGTTTCCAATCCGTCGATGTCGTATGTGATCGACATGCAGTACCTATCTACATGACACTTGATATGGCTTCAACAACTTGACTGCACAGTTTGGTGGCAGCGACGCTTGGCTATGGGTGCTGTTGAATGGACGAGTGCCCAACCAGGCGGACACGTCTTACGTCGCATCCATTGCTGCACTCGACCGAGCGCGGGAGCTAGTCTGGAACTCGAGGGTTCGCATCGATATGAGCACGAACAAGTGTCGTCTCAGTGCTTCTTCTTTGTGCGACGTGACATAACCAAGGCCCTCGACCAGATACATGACATGGCATACTCGGTGGTGGCGCGCACGAGAAACGGAAGCGTCAGGTGTGCCGTCGAGACGGCGGCCACTTGAACTTGCCGGACCGGTGCACCAACCCCATCAAGTACAGATCGTGTGTTTCGAGTGGGAGTGCACGACGAGGACGAGAGCGGCCATGGCGGTGATGACCCCCCTCGCTGCGAAGTGGGCTATCGGCACGTATCCGAGTACAATATGGCGGTCGCGGGAGCGACCGTCGACGAGTGGCTTTGTTGGTTAAATGTGTCATATACGCGGAAGGCCGAGTACACGACGGCTGCTAGAAGAAACGTCAATTGGAGGCAGCATTCATTACCACGGCGAATGCCATCTCCTGGTCTCCGAGAACGTACACGTTGTACAGGGTGCTCATTTGGCTCTGACGAAGCGTAAAGTCACCGTCGAAGTACGATTTGGTATCGAACTCCTGCACCACGGCTAGGACGATCCAAGTGAGACGACGTAACTGACAGGAAGTGGAGCGCATACCTCGAATAATCGACGGCAGCGGGTTGGCCTTCAGGATCCCTTGATCGGGATCTGCATGACATGACCTTTCCAGTGAAGCGATTGATCATTATACGGATCATCCGGATATATACGACCCACCCCTGTCGGTTTCATACTTTGCTGGCAATGGCGCGTAGAAAGGGCACATGCCGCTGGTGGTGATGAAGGAGCGAGCCAAGGTGAAGCGACAGGCGAGAGATGCAAAGACACAGTTACCTCCTCTTATCAAGCAGAAGGATAACACTATGGATGAAGCGATCGCGGAACTTCGGGATTGTTTCCAGCGCCTATGCTGTAGCGGGGACACCATGCCGACATCGCCGCATCCGTCCATCGCCCTGAGTTCTGCGCTCATGGAGCACGGCAAGGCATATTGGCGACGTGTCGCGCTACGTGTCGTGTCTCAGCTGAAAGCCATGTCCTCCGACGAGGTTGTCGTTGGAACCCCACGCCTTCACACCGCTCGACTCTTGCTGTTGTATTACATGAGTTGCGATGCATGGTGTGGTCCCATGTTGAGTCTCGAGGGTGTGGTCCCAATGTTGGTGCGTGAATGCATCCGGTACCACGCCACATGCCTTTCGTCCAGTGCCACTGCGGCCGCCGTCCAGGATCCCAATGGCAGTCCCCGCGGGCTTATTCCCTTAGGCGAGACTTCTCCCGACTTCCAACTTCTTCCTCGTCTTTCCACGCTTGATGTGCCTGTGGATTGGTTTCGGTACACCCATCGCGCCTTGTGTCTGGAGTTGCTCCGCCACGATCAGATGGACTTTGTAGTGCCAATAGGGGCGCAATCGATGCTTTGTCTCTTGACCAAGTCGCCCCTTCCTCAAAGCGAAGTCGACGAGTACGACGCCGTCCACGCCACAAGTACGACTCGACACGACGCTATTTCTCCTATGTCCATCTCCAAACTGCCGATTTCGTCGTCCATATTCACCTTTTCCCATTCCGACAGCCGCCAACAAGACGACCCACAGACCAGCTTTATCGACTCGACGGAGCAAGACCGCTTACTTGGCCACGTGGCATCCAATCCGTCGTTCCACATCCACTTGGTTGTCCGCACTTTGACCTGTATCATGTCCACAGCGCGTGGCCTGGAGCGGCGGCGCTTGCTCGCCGATGGCGCCGCGCATGCCCTGGCTCTACTCGCCACGTCGTCACACGTTCCCGACCAATGTGACACCGTCCGGTATCCTCCCGTGCTTGAGCGTCTACTGAGTCTGTCGTTCGTGCGGCAGATGGCCCATTCCGGACTGGCAGCTATCTCGACAGTACGTGGATGGTTCTGTTAGTTGTTTAGCACTCACTCGTCTACTATGTGGGACGCTGTGGAGCTAATCTTCACCCCTCTTACTTGTGGCGTGGTTGATGTAGGACGAGTTGCACCGACTAGTAGTCGATAGTCATGATCCCATCGCATTATTGTCATCGCCATGCCGCCACCACCACCATCCGTCGTCGGTCCTTCTGACCCATGACAAGCTGGATACGATCGTGGGCCATCGCTCCGACGCGCTCAAGCGCCATGCCGTCGACGCGCGACGACGGGTTCAAGTCGACGCTTGTGTTCGGAATCCCGCAAACTCGATCGAAGCACGCCTACGTGCCGTCACGTCCTTTTCTTCGTCGTCGGTACCCCAGCCCCCCTTGCAAAAGACCAAATTTGCCAAGGCGGATGTAATTTCATGGGTGCGCCATGCCGATGCTGTGACAAGGCACTTGCTGCACAGTTTAGCTGTCCTACATGACGCGGCCACTACGTCTGGTGGCCCTTCGTCGTCGCTCAAGTGCTGGCTAGCTCAAGCCGACCGCGCCCGCGGGGAAGCGGCGGGTATCATGGCACGTCAAGTGCGCGAACTCGAATGCATGGCGCTGCAAGACAAACCCCCCGAGACGGAAATCGAGCGCAAGGCGCGTCTCCAGGCCAAGGCCCAAGCGCTGGCGATACGGGCAGAGGAGAAGCGGCTGGCAGACGAACTTCATGTGCGGCGCCTGCGCGACGCCAAGGCCGAGCAGGAGGCCCGCCTCGATATGACCCGGGAAGACCGATACGTTCCCCTTCACATTCAGACCGACCAAGAGCGGGAAGCGGCGGCCGTGGCGGTTGAGGCCGCGCGTGTCGCGGCACTACGAGTCCTAGTGCGCGAACGTCGACTGCAGGACGTGGAAGAGTGGCACATGCGTGAACAAGACGCACTCGCGCGCCAAGTTCGCCGCTACCAGTGGGACCTGGACGAAGCCGCGTTTCTTGTAGCGCGGCAGCGAGAAGCCGACGAATCCCATCATATGCACGCCGAAGACGTGTACGGACACAGGACGTGGCCACTCGTGGATGCCGCGCAAGAAGAGGCTGATTTCCGCGCCAAGTTGGCGGCGAAGAAGGCGGAGCGGGCGGCAGTGAGGCGCGCGCGGCGGCAGGCCCAACATCCTGCCCTGTATGCAAAAGAGTGGGAAGTGGTCACGTTAGACGATGGCGGGTCGTACTTTCGAAATATCGTGACGGGGGACGTCCAGTGGACAGATCCATGTGCGCCAACCACCACTACCACGGCGGCGGCATGGGAGCCCGCGGCGGACGATGTCGGACGAACTTACTATGTGAATACCGCGACGGGCGAGACGGCGTGGACGGCTCCGGAAGGCGCCGCGATGGAAGGCAAAGTACAGGTAGACCAATGGGATGAATTCAAGACAGATGATGGAGTCGCGTACTATGTCCACCGCACCACGGGTGACAGTGTATGGGAAAAGCCCGTAGCGTCGTAGTTTGTGCAGTTAAGATGGTATGAATATACTATTTAGTACAAAGTAGACTTGTATTAGTCGATTCGTGCCGAAGTGTTAACGTTGTTTACACCAAGTCGTTGGTGGGAGTGCTACTTCCATCAGGGGACAGCGACCACACAAGCAGGCTCAGGAGCAACAGAAGCAGTTGGTTCCGCGGGTCTTCCTTCAACCACTGCATGAGCGACCCTACTTCGCATCGTACATCCGTCCCGGTCGTTGTCACAATAGAGGCATCCGGCCACGGCGTCGTCGTCCCCTTGTCTTCCTCTCCGTCCTCTTCATCCTCTTCGTCCTCTTCTTCTTCATCTTCGTCGTCGGGCACCGTCAGAGGCTCGAGTTTCGTGTGCGCATTCGCATCAGTCGTTGTCGATGCGATTGGTGTTACTTTGAGAGGCAATTGGATGGCGGCACTCAACGCGTCCAACCATTCCGTGCCTTCCGCCACAGATTCCGCTCTCAGCACGACCACGTCGCCCGACACTTGCGTGATCCCGAGCACCATGTGCGGTAGTTTGCGCAGCTCCACGAGCATGTCTTCGTGAGTAGATAGGTCCTGCACATGACAGCATCGGGGGAGCATCACCACCTCCTTGGGTCTCCGTCCTGTTGTGGGTCTGTGCTTGTGCGAAAACAGGCTCAGCACGACCCCGTCCAGACGACACCACCGCCGCGACCACTTCGTCAGCACGACCTTTCGGCGCTGCTTGTTGTAGAGCCACAAGTACCCAACCTTGAAAGTGCGACTTGTAGGGGCGGTGGCCAGCGGGTGGTACGTGGGCACTTGTGCTAGATCCAGCAGGAGCGGCAGCCGCTGCATCAACTGCGCGCGCGCATCGGACGCCGCGTGGTAGCCATAGAAGACGCTTTGAATCGCCGAGCCCACTTGGCCGTGGCTCGGTTGATGTGGTGGCGACAGTGTCGTTTGTCCCGATGATGTCGACTCGAACAACATGTGACAGGTGCCGTCCGGATGGATGGCCAGCAGCACCGCCTCGTCTGGGTGTACTACCGTCAACATGCTCGAATTTGAACCCCACACGTCCGTCACGGCTTGGGCTTCGTGGTCGCAATGCGCATTTCGGAGCAACGACGCCAGCAACGCAGCAATCCCCGACAACGAACAAGTGGACATGACGACCAAAAGCGAAGGAACTTGACGAACGCGCCGGTCGTAAACGCCATGGAAAAGTCGGGATCCGCCGCGAGGCTGCCGAACGACAGCCCCTTGAACCGCACGAGGTGGGAGGACGCACCCGCGGCGTCCACGTACAGCCCCACGGTCCACCGAGCTTCCCCTTCGTCCGCCGAGCCGCAGGTACCAAGCAAGACGATGGACGTGCCTCCGGATATAGAGGAGGCGGCCAGAGTGCCGGGGAACACGACGGCCGAGGTTAGGTCGATCAGAGGTCCAAACGTGGACGAGAAAGGGACCATGTCGTCGTCGTCGTCGTTGTTGGTACCGTCTCCATCCTCTTCTTCTTCTTCCTCGTCATCATCCCTCTCATCCTCACCCTCGTCTTCTTCTTCTTGATCGCATTCGTCGTCAGTTTCAAAGTCTTTTGGGAGACTGATGCGGCATGATCGTGGTGAAAACGAAGTAGGGAAAGCAGGGAGGAGCCCCCAGAGGTACGGCATGCGCTCGATGAGGCCGCGCTTGGCGTGGGTTTGGATGGAGTTGGCGTCGAAGAACAGCGCTGGGATACATCGGCAGAGCGCGGGCGCGACAAGAGACGGATGCGAGAGCCCCTTGAAGTGAAAGTCCAGAAGGGTCGCGTCGGGGTGGATTGTGCAGATCATGCTCTCGCCCTTGCGCAGCGACTTGTCCACAAACGTCATTAGTTCCACAAGCTCGTCGACGGCGCCGCTGCCGATTCGCGGTCGCAGCTCGTCATGCAAAGCGGTGGTCAACGCACTGCGAGACAAGCGTTTCCGACACGAAAACACAAACGTCTTGCGGAAGCGCGAGTCCAGCAGACATGAGTAGAACGATGGGTCGTCGTAGAGGCTCGCAAGAGACCGGCCGCGAAAGGCGTCGAACGTCGTGCTGACTGCCGTCGAATCGATGTACAGTGCGACCGCGAGGATCGGCTCGTACGTCCACCGCACGCGGCGAATGAACGGACCAACGCCCATGAGCACGTCGCCCGTCGCTTTGAGCACGGAAGGGAACTGGATCGTGGACGCGGTTTCGATGAGCGGACCGAGAACCGTGGGTAATATCAGGGGGGCATCGTCGTCTTCCTCGACGGGGTGTGTCGAGGAAAGGGCTGGCGGCGCAGGCTGAGGTTCCGTGGCGGTGAATCGCAGAAGCGCCGGGTTTCGATCGCGGTCGGTGGAGATGTTGACGGATGCTTGATCGAGCGACGCTCCCCAATGAGCCACGAGTGCATCCACCCACCTATCGCGGTCGTTGTCGCTGTCGGCCGCAAAAAACAACTTTTCGTCGCGCACGCGCAGCTCAAAGCCAAACGGTTTGGGTGCTTCAAACAGTCGAATGGAAATGTCCATCGCCCCTACCATCATGCTGCGTTCAGTGATGGACCTTCTGACGATCGAGTGCCGTTACCTCCAGGGAGGATGCCGGCAGATCTGTGAAGCTCGCCGCGTCGGGCGCCTCGGTTATTGACGCAGCAGATACTGTCCTTGTCCATACGAACATGGCGTAGCTTCCACGTGTGGAAGGTCCTATCTCGCTTCAGGAGCTTGCCATGTACCAACTGCACTGTCATCATTGCGCGGGTGCAACGATAAAAATGTCAACTTCCACTGTAGGGTAGTAAACTGTTAATTCAAATCATGTATTTGGTGTTTGTATGTCAAATTGAATATCTTCAAATAAAACAGCAAGAACTGTCAATAGCTTTCGTGATTGGATAGAATATGATCATATTGTCCATTTCTCATTGGTCGAATGGAGTGATATCTGGCCAATCCACGATTTTTACCATTTGAGTCGGATCCAATCAGCCATGGACAGAATGGCGATTCTGCGAGCGAATCTTCGTCAAGACTGGCAAGCTTTGATGCGTGGCGGCGGGCGACCCGCCCGGAGTCAGTATTGATGCTCGATCTGTACTTGGCGCTCAAGGACGGAGCGTGGTTGCACGCCGAAGACCCTGATGTATACGCCTTTTCCCATCTCCCATCCCACAGCAGTAACGTTCTTGTTACCGTTGATGATCGACGGACGATGACGGCGACCAAGAAGCTGTCCATGTATTATTCTGGCGGGGTCGTGTACCCCCGTTTTCGCGAGGATGACACCATTCATGTCGTGGTGGTGGTGGCCATCCCATCGTACCAACCGCACTGGTCAAATATTTTGGACAAGGGTAAGATTGTCTTGTTAGGAGCCACGCCAATGTCGTACTGTGCCTTGACTTCAGGAGTGCTGCCCGTTGTTTACTTCGAGCCCCTTACCAAACGACGAGAAGGTCGCCGTGGCCTTACCGCTTCCGGAGGAATTCCAGTACGACTTGAGCAAGATACCAGTGGATACGTGCGTCGACACCAGTGCGCTGTCGGCCGCTCTCGAGCCGTTGGGCTAGTTTCCACGCACTCTCTTGATGGCCCACGAGATGAAGGTGGCGTGGGCGGCTATTCTCGTCGACACGATTACTCGACTACAATGCCTCGCTATTTACAGTCGTGCCTCCACATGTAAAAAGTCCCCAAGGTCCCTCTCAATTACCCTCTAGACCAAAGCCACCCGTTCAAAGCCGACCTGTAACGTACTCAAGTTGGCATGTATGGAGCGTTGCAATTGTTTTCCGTGTTGATTGAGATCACGCAGCAAACTATGCGTAGTCAGACATGGATTGACATGGAATCCGCGTCCCTTCGGCCCATCACGGCTGCGACGATATTGTACTAGTACCCTCTGTATGTAGATTCCCTGAATGAATGACATAGCACTCTGATCTCGACCCCCCACGGACTCGTGGTTGTCCTGCCAGTGCACAAACATTGTAAGAAGTGGCAGACCGATGGACGAACTCGAGGTGTTTAAACGATGAGGTGTAAACAGTAGCGACCTGCAAGATGTCTCTCATCAGGGCATCCCCATCGGAAAGACTGTATAAGCAGACTGTAAAATACCGTTTGACAGTTCCTGTATTTTGCAGATATCAGTCGCCCTATCCGGAGGTCATGACCGCGGTCATCTTGGAATTTGTATGGTATACAATGTACTATGACCAAGCGGAAATATTCGACGTCGGTGGTTGAACCAATCAAAACAGAGAAGAAGTGCAATTTTCCTACCAATAAGGGTGCGTCATGAATGGAAAGCCTGAACTATTTTAACCAATAAAATCTTGTGTGAGTTTTGCGTTCCGTTCGAAATTACGACTGTTTGGCGAACCAAATCTCGTGATGAGATCATCGGAAAACTTCATGTTGGCATCATTAATCCATTTGCACCTTACGAAATGAGCGACACAACAAGCGCGGCGAACGAAATGAACGCGAGAAGAGAGCAAGCCTTGCGCCTGCACATGCTCGAGCACGAAGCCATGGCACGAATTCGAGCTAACCGGAACTCCACCCGACCCGAGCAAACTGATCGCCAGTACTCTGCCAAGCAAATGGAGTATATTCAATGGAATCAGACATGTGGGTACACCGACGAGCACGTCACACCGGCCAAAATGGTGCTCTTTCTAACGCAAGTTCAAGACCGGCCAGTGCGATCAACTAGTCGCAAGCAAGCCACGAGGCCCTCAGACTCTCAACAAGCGGTGGACCAGCTTGCTTGCGAACATGCTGATGGGTCAACTACCGAAGGCGAGGGCAGCGGGCGCATCATTGGTTATCACACCTTGGCAGCCTACGCAAATGCATTGATGGACATTTGGAAGTTTCAGTTCGACTTGAAGCAAAACCCGCTCACCCCAATACGTCCGGCGAGCGTGAAGGAACTGCTGAAGCAGAAGAAGATGGCGGTGGTTCAAAAGGAGAACACAGAGTTCGCGGATCGAGGATGTGGAACTATGGCAGACTGTGTGGATCCTGCAGCACTTCGGCAGATCAGCGACAAGTTCTTCATGGACGGCACCGAACAAGGCTTGAAACATCGTGCCGACAACCTGATGTCTTTGGCCTTGTGTACACGTGGTGACAACCTGCGCCGCTTGACGCTGTCTGAGATTGGTTTGGTTTCATTCGAGGGCGAAGGCGTCAATGGTGCCAGTCTGTTCCGCTGTGTGTGGCGCAAATCGAAGCGCAACCAGTATGGAAACGTTGAGCAGACAACATTCATGCGTCACAAGGACGTAACCCGTTGTCCATTTGGCGCTCTTGCGATGTACTTCTTCCTTCGTTGGCACATGGGTGATGAGCCATGGCCTGACCTCTCAGAGCGGAAACTGTGGTACGATATCTGTGTGTTGAAGGGGGCCACTCCAAGCACCGC